AAGCATTCATTTCTTTCTGCATTCTCACTGGCATCTGTTGTTTTTTACTTTTTCATAAAGGCCATTCTGATATGGGTAAGGAGTATAGTTTTAATTTGCATTTCCATGATGATTAGTGATGTTGAGCATTGCTTCATGTTTCTTGGCCATTTTATTTTTTTGGGGAAAACTTCTGTTCTTTTGCCCACTTTTTAATGGGGTTGTTTGTTTTTTTCTTGCTGATTTGTTTGAATTCTTTGTAGATTCTGGATATTAACCCTTAGTATAGTTTGTGAATATTTTCTCCCATTCTGTAGGTTGTCTCTTTACTCTGATTATTCTCCCTGCTATGCTGCTGCTTTTTAATTTAATCAAGTCCCATTTATTTATTTTTATTGTTGCTGTAATTGCTTTGAGGTCATAAATTCTTTGCCTAGGCTGATATCTAGAAGAGGTTTTCCTACATTTTCTAATAGAATTTTTATGGTTTCATGCCTTATGTTTAAGTCTTCTATCTATCTTAAATTAATTTTTGTATATGGTGAGAGATAGGTATACTATTTCATTCTTCTGCATGTGGCTATCCAGTTTTCCCAGCACCTGTTGAATAGGGTTTCCTTTCCCCAGTGTATGTTGCTGTCCGCTTTGTTGAAGATCAGCTGGTTGTTGATAGATGGTTTTATATCTGAGTTCTCTATTCTGTTCCACTGGTCTATGTCTCTACTTTTATGCCAGTCTAATGCTGTTTTGGTTACTGTAGCCTTGTACTATAATTTAAAGTCTGATAATGTGATGCCTCCAGATTTGTACTTTTTGCTTAAGATTACTTTTGCTATTTCAGCTCTTTTTTGGTTCCAAATGATGCTTAGAATTATTTTTTTTTAGATCTGTAAAATATGTTTTTTTTAGTGGAGATTACATTGAATCTATAAATCATTTGGGGCAGTATAGACATTTTAACAGTGTTGATTCTAACCATCTATGAGCATGAGATTTTTCCATTTATTTGTATCATTTGTGATTTCTTTCATCAGTGTTTCATAGTTTTCCTTGTAGAGATCTTTCTCCTGTTTGGTTAAGTATATTCTGAAGAATTTTATTTTCTTTGTAGCTTTTGTGAATGGTATTGAGTCTTTGAATTGCCTCTTGACTGTTATATTAGTAAATAACATTTTAAAATCCCAATAGATTTGATCACCAAAAAGATGTACTCATGAATGTTGATTTTTTTTTTTTGCTAAGTTCAGAAAGATTTCTATTTTTCCTGAGTTTCCTATTATAGGTATTGCCTTAAAATGTATATAACTTGGCCAAGTGGGGAATACTTAGGGTTTTGTGAATTAGTAAATTTTTTTGGCTGTATTAGAGATGCTGTTTCTGAAAAATTTCTGAAGCACATTAGTGTACTTTTCTGCTATATTAAGAAGATAATACTGAAATGTATGAATGATTCATGATTGACTTTCTTATGATACTTCAGTATTATTATTTTAGAAGGCCCAAGAGATTTGATTGACTTACTCTCGGCAGGCTTGGAGCATAATACCAGAATTTGCCTCTTTCACTAAATCCCTAATGTGAAGCTGTTTTGCTGTTTTCTTAGATTTCTCTCTCAGAAGTTGTTTCTGTTTGTCCTCATCCCATCTGGTTAATTGCAATTTTATTGGTTTTGTTATAATTTGGCTATAATTTTTTAGTCTCCTATTCTCTGGTTTTGGCTCAAAGCTGCTCACCTTATTTATAAGTGCTAATTCATACATTTATTTAAATACTTACTTGGTATAAGTACTTTGCTAGGTACATACTCATAAATCAAATTATAATAATAAAACATACAATTACAAACTGAGGTGCGTGCTCTGAAGCTAAGGGAAATGCATCTGTGAGCACAGAAAGGCCCCTAACCTGGACTTAGGAAGTGATCTTTAAGCTGAGATCTAAAGGATGATTAGTAACTAGTTGAAGGGTGGAGCACATTTTTAGGCAATTTCCATAATAGGAAACTTCGGAAAAATAGAAATCTTTCTGAACTTAGCTAAAAAAAACCCAACATTCATGAGTACATCTTTTTGGTGGTCAAATCCATTGAGATTTTAAAAAGTTATTTACTAATATAACAGTCAAGCTGAGAGGCAATTCAAAGACTCAGTACCATGCACAAAAGCATAGTATGGGATTCAGGTACAGCTTATGCAAAGGAGCTGCAGTGGAGAGGAAATGCAGCATGACTAAAACTAAAAACACAAGTATGATCAGCGTTGGGAATCAAAGATGAGACAGAATAACAAGAGATGGCAGGGGCCGGAATTATTTATTAAGAGCAATGGGAAAACCACAAAGATTTTAAATTAGGAGGCTACTGGAGATCAGATTTGTGTCTTAAGAGAATCCTTATTTAATGTCTGTTTTTGTAGCTAGACGATAAGCTCCAAAAGTAGAGGGAATAGCTGTTGATCTTACCACGTGCAATACAAGTAGGTACTCAATAAATATTAAGTGTCACCATTCAGTAGCTCAGTGTCTGGCACACAGTAAGTGCTTAGTAACGTTGTGGTTTTCATTGCTCTAGATTAGCTTTTGGCGTGGGACAGTGGCTGCTGTGAAGTAAGAGGTGTCATGAAGTAATTCATTCCAACAATATCTGTTGAAGACCTGTGATGTACTCAGACGAATAAGCAGCTAAATTTCATCACTTCCTTTCCCTTGGGCTCCCTGTAGGATGTATGGAGCACAAAAGTGATTGAGAATTGTTAACAAATCAGATCAGCCTAAAGTGAGGTGATATAGTAGATGCTCTTGCCCTGTACTCCCCACTTTATATAATCACTTTTGTGCCTGGTAAGATAGCTGTTTTTTTTTTTTTTTTTTTTTTTTTTTTGAGACAGAGTCTCACTTTGTTGCCCAGGCTAGAGTGAGTGCCATGGCATCAGCCTAGCTCACAGCAACCTCAAACTCCTGGGCTCAAGCAATTCTCTTGCCTCAGCCTCCTGAGTTGCTGGGACTACAGGCATGCGCTACCATGCCCAGCTAATTTTTTCTATATATTTTTAGTTGGCCAATTAATTTCTATTTTTAGTAGAGACGGGGGTCTTGCTCTTGCTCAGGCTGGTTTCGAACTCCTGACCTTGATCAATCCATCCACCTCAGCCTCCCAGAGTGCTAGGATTACACCCAGCCAAGATAGCTTTTATAAAGCAATTTCTTCTAGAGTTCTCAGGTAAAATTACCTTTCCAGAGTTCATTTGAAATAGTCTCAACTTTATTCTTTTTTTTTTCTTTTATTTCATTATATTATGGGGGTATAGATATTGTTAGGGTTACATATATTGTTCCTGGCCCCACCCCCCGTGCCAGAGCTTTAAGTGTGTCCAACCCCCAGATTGTACGCACCATCAACTTTATTCTTATCTTCATTTGTTTTATGTAAAGTGAGATAACTTGCTATTAAAGATTGCTATATAAACATTTCTTTTTGAAATTTATAATCATTTCAATGCTATAGCTTTAATATTTTACTTTTTTCAAGCATTTAATTTATATATGGTGTGTCCTCTCTTAAAATGTATAGTATATAGTGTTATATCACCAACTTCCTGGCCAATTTTCCTTACTTCTTTATTGGGGAATAGTAACCAGACCCACCAGTTCACACATACTTGCTTTTGTGCACATTAATAAAGGTGCCCTGTCTGGATGGATAAATTACCAAAAGATTCCTCTGCTTCTGACATATCCTATGTCATTGTGTCCTGCTTGGAGGGTGGCATCAGCCCCTACTTGTGCCTTCTGCAGCATGCCTTTAAGCCATGCATAAACTACTCACCTATACTTAGTGGCTCTAAGTGGTAATTCAGTGTAAATTAGATATCGCTCATAATCAACTAGACTATAGATAATCCTTTATAAACAAAGTGACCTATTAAAAAGTAGAATAATTGTTCACTAAAGTAATTGTTAAATGCAACCTTCAATTGAAACATTAATAATATTATATTTAACTTACTTTCAAAGTTTCTAAAACTTGGTTGTGTAAAATGTGGGTAAATTGTTATAGTTTTGGGGGAAAAACTTTGTTAAATAAAGCTAAAGTTTTTTTTTTTAATCATTTTTTTAATGTGCTCAGTGTTGCCTGCCTAGAAACACACAGACACATACACATATTTAATTTCTCATTATGGAAACTTTTTAACGAATACAAAAGTAAAGTGATGAAGCCCCATGTATCTGTTATTCAGCATCAATAGTCAATGTATTGTTTTATCTGCTTCCCTCCCATTTTGCTCACCCCAGATTATTGTGAAGCAAATCTGAAACATTTTATTTTTAGTGTCAAATCTTCAGCATCTATTCTAGAAGACACTCTTTAAATTATAAATAATAGAAGCACAGTACCATTATCATATTTAAGATTAAAAATCATTAACAATATTTTCCACCATCTAGTCAGCATTTAGACTTTCCTGATTGTTTCATAAATGGTTTTTAAAGTTGGTTTGTTTGAATCAGAATCAAAACAAGTCTATACAGTATAATTGATATGTCTCTTGAATTACTTTTAATAAATAGCTTCCCCCTTTCCTTTTTTTCTTGTATTTTATTTGTGCAAGAAAGGGCCATTTTCCCACTTTCTGAATTTTACTGGTTGTATCTCTGTGGTATCATTTCACATGTCCAAGAATATTTTTTATTTATGTTGAAATATATGATACCTCATCTCCTTAGACTGTTAACACATTTTTGTTTAGGTGGAGTAATTAATGCTTTACTTATTTGTTGAAGAATGATGAAGTTCAAAGATTATGTAAACATAAAAGGGAGGATCTGAAGGAAAAAGAACAAACCTCAGAAAGTAGAATAATTTTGTAATGCTCCACTTTTACAGCTCTGTGATTATTTTGATAACATCATTTGTTGTCATAAAATATTATAGGATACTAGAATATGAAATTGTAGCAAGGGTAGGCATAATAAGTTAATTTTGGTTGAAGTAACATTGTTAACTTTTTTTATTTGCAAAAAAGATACCAGGTGATCAGCACTCCAACAGATTTTTTTATGGTAATGGAATATGTGTCTGGAGGTGAATTATTTGACTACATCTGCAAACATGGACGGGTGAGTTAACATACTATCTAAACCTCTAAACTAAAATTCTAAACTAAAAAAGAGCAAAGTACTAGGAAATAACAAACTTGAAAAGATATCTTCAAAGCCAGAGTTGCTTTTGTAGTAATGCACAAATAGACATACACAGTATTAGACAATTTTTTTTCTTAAAAGTGTATCTTTTGAAATACTGATTTTAGAAAATGTGTTCTACTTAATTGCCAGTGTGATGCCCATGCTTTTCAGAATCTGTTCTGTAAAAGCATGTTGAGGTTTAATTATTTTCTTTTCTTTGTACTTCCACATACATTCTGTTTTAGTTTGTTTTACTGTCAATTCCCCAAAACATTGTGCACATTTAATAATGTTAATTGAAAATTAAATACTACTGCCTAGCAACAAAGAAAAACCTGCCTATTGACATGTTGAGCTTTGACAAGTTTTTGGTTTTTTTGTTTTGTCTGATTTGTTGAGAATACGAACACAATTATAGCTTGCTTAGTTATATGTAACCTGATTATGAAACAAATATTCATGGTAGATAGATATCCAAGATATTCTTAATGCAGTTTCTTTTCTATTTGATAGGTTGAAGAGATAGAAGCCAGGCGGCTCTTTCAGCAGATTCTGTCTGCTGTTGATTACTGTCATAGGCATATGGTTGTTCATCGAGACCTGAAACCAGAGAATGTGCTATTGGATGCACACATGAATGCGAAGATAGCTGATTTTGGTATGTAACTCCAGGGTTGTTCTGAAATGTACTAGCTGCCTTTTAAAGTGTGTCAGCAAAAACTCTTATAGAACTAAGAACTTTCCATTTCAACCTTGTAAATAAATCCTATACCATGAAAAGAGATTAGCTGCTTCTTCATTTAAATATACTTAAAAAACAGGAGATACCTTTAGAAAAATTATCAAGATAAATCCATTCAATCTATGTTTCCTCCCAAGGAAATGATACTTAACTGTTTTTTTGGAGGGGGAGAGGAGTCCCAAACTCTTTTGAAAATCTGATGAAAGTATGCAAACTTTCCCTGATGAATGTACATAAACAGTGGTACATGAAAATTTGCATGCAGTTTTGGAAAAAGCTTTATAGCTCTTCTGAATTGATTCATGAAGAGGTTAGTGGATCTTAGGGTTATATCTAAGAACTTGATTAGAGAGAATAGGAGTTTTTGTAAGGGGTCAAAGAAAAGGTAAAATGTGAATTTTAAGTTCCACACACTTTCTGGGGTAAACATACCTGGAAAGGATGCCATAGTAGGGTGTTTGAGGTAAAGACTAGGAAGTAAAAGATTATAGAAAAAGAGAGACAGAAAGGTGCCAAAGTTTAGTTTTATTTATTTAAAATTTTTGTCTATATTTTGCCTTTAATCTAAAAACCAGGAAACTACTTTTTATATTTCTCTTCCTTCTCTAAATCATGCAACTCAATTTAGTGCTATAGTGGAAGTAGATTCTTTGTTAAATTATTTTTTCTTATGTTGAATTAAAGGTTTCTAAATTAAACACTTTTGGAACATAATCTGTTTATAAATTGGGGCCTGTCTGGTTTCTAGTTACAGAATTTTAAAAAAGGCTTTTGAAAGCTTAGTATAAAAAAGTAGTAGTCTCTATTTTTAAACTGTTTAAGTAGATTGATGGTTTTATGTTCAGAAAAGTCAATATAATTTAGAATATCCTTATTTGTGAAGTGAATCAACATTTTTATTTAGAAAGGAAATTGAATTCTAATCATACATGTGATATGCGTTAGCATTTTTTGTCACAGCGTAAGTACTCTGAAATGGTTTCTTTCTCGTCTAACAAATGCTTTCTACTGCTTTTTTAATAATTAAAAAAACAAGGTGTATGGCACATTAAAGACTTGAAATTTTACTCATTTTTAATCTATATCTACTTAAAAAATATCTACCACCAGGTAAACATTACTTTTGTTTTCAGGACTATCTAATATGATGTCAGATGGTGAATTTCTGCGAACTAGTTGCGGATCTCCAAATTATGCAGCACCTGAAGTCATCTCAGGCAGGTAATCATATGTCAGTGAAGAGTGAGCTTTTTGTCATCTTGCATTCATTCTGATAACATTTAATTATACTATACTCTTTTAAAGGCAAGATTTTTAGCATGATAGAAACAGATTGTTCATTTATTTTATTACCATTGTTTAGGGGGACTGGTTATATTAAAACTTTTTAAATATTTCATTTAGCTGTTGTTATAAATGTAGTTATGAAGTTTTTCCTTTTTAAAAAAAATGACTGAAATCTTGATTTAATATATATTTCATTTTAGAAAAATGCAGGTAAGAGAGTAAGCATTTTTTAAAATTTAGTGTAATTTATTTATCAGACATGATCTTTTAATTATACTTTAAATATTTTATAAAGAATATACAGTATTGATTTGTATTTTGTCTTTGGAAGAATGAAATTTTGGGGGGTAATATTTCATGAAATTAAACTATACAAATAGTGATTGTGTACACATGTAACTAATTCATTGGTACGTTATAAAAAGTGTTTATACAGATTACAGTAGTAAACTCAAGTCTTTATACAGTGACCAATGTGTGCTTTAAAAAGCTAACAGAATTCTATGAGAGAAAATATTGAAAAGGTATTATTGGCAGTAACAAATATAGGAGTTTCTTAGTTCATTTTGGCGGCTATAAGAAAAATACCATAAACTAGGTGGCGTATAAACAACAGAAATTTATTTCTCACAGTTCTGGAGACTGGGAAGTCCAAGATCAAGGTGCCAGCAGATTTGGTGTCTCGTGAGGGCCCACTTTCTCATAGACTACTGTATTTTCACTGTAACCTCGCATGGTGGAAGGGATGAGGAACTCTCTGGGGTCTTTTTTAATAAAGGACACTAATCCCATTCATGAGAACAGAGCCCTCATCATCTAATCTACTCTCAAAATTCTCACCTCCTATACCATTATCACCTTGGGGGTTGGAATTTCAATACATGAATTTTGGGGGAACATAAACATATGTAAATGATGGATAGCAATTTTTGTAGAAAGAGATTATATTCTTTTCATTGGAATTGTAGAGATTTTCTTTGCTACCCCAGACCCAGTTTGAATTTGATAATGTGCTATTGGGAATTTTAATGCTGTAGAAAGTGAGAGGGAAAAAAAGAATAACATTCTAGGCATAGGTTATGTGGATCAAAGCTTATCCTAATTCTATGGGCTAGCAAGTAGTAGGTCCTAAGCATAATGTGATACAGAGTAAATACTGTTTATGCAGTATTAGATACTTTAATGGTTCAAATGTTCTTTAAAATAGATGTGCCTTTAAAAAAAAGACAGGTGTGCTGCAGATAAAAATTCTAATATTATACATGAATTTTCTTTCTTGTAATAGTTTTATGTGAAAAAGATTTAGCCTATACACTGTAGTATTGTTTTTCCAAGTTTATGGCTATCTACTTTGATGTTTCTCTCAGAAATCAATCACAGAAATTCTTACATTTTTAAATTAGTAAGTGAACAGTTAAATGAGTTTGTGACAATCAAAATGACCCTATTCATTTGGCAGACTTGAATAACTATTCTCTTTGAGAACAACCATTGAGCATTGGTGAGTGGCCATGAACTTCATTAAAGACCTTGGAAATCAATAGTACTGAGTCTGTACTACATATATTTATAGAAGCAGGGTACATATAGATGAGATAAAGTGATACTTGCGTTTCATGTTTGTGTTGTCATCTTTTTTTCTTAGATTGTATGCAGGTCCTGAAGTTGATATCTGGAGCTGCGGTGTTATCTTGTATGCTCTTCTTTGTGGCACCCTCCCGTTTGATGATGAACATGTACCTACATTATTTAAGAAGATCCGAGGTGGTGTTTTTTATATCCCAGAGTATCTCAATCGTTCTATTGCCACTCTACTGATGCATATGCTGCAGGTTGACCCCCTGAAACGAGCAACTATCAAAGACATACGGTGATTATTCTCTTTGTTCCTGTTATGCATATTTTCTCATACAATATTAATAATAGTAATGTTAATTGAATGCTTGCTTTATGCTAGGCTTTGTAGCACTTTATAAGAAGTTTACTGGCCTTGTTACATAAACCTGATGTTGTCACTTACCTTTCAAATACTTCAGATTGCTGCCCAAATCTTTTAGCTTAGGTAGCAGAGTATACAAGACCCTTCATAAGAATGCTCTGCTTACTTCTGAAGTCTCATTTCCTGCCCTCACCACCTCTTGTATCAGTGCTTCAGGCACACTGAACATGTCTTTGTTCCTCAAGCTTAACATAGATTGTATGCCTTTTTATGTCTTTGTTTACATTTTTCTTCTTGCCTTGATGCTCTTTCTGCCTTTTTTGACCCGACAGACTTCCATTTATTCTTTAAAGTTTTGCTCACATGGCACCTCCTTTGGGAAATTGTTTCTGATTTCCCCAGGCAATGTTAGGTGCTTCCACTTCTGTTACATCAACATTTTTTTCATACTTTTATTATTTCATTCTCATCTTCTACACAGGTGTTTATCAGTGTGTCTTTTCCTTTCTTACATTATGACTACATCAGGGTAGAGAGATTGTCTTACTCATCTTTGCATACACAGTGCTAGAGGCTTGGGCATATAGTATATGCTGAAAAAGTGTCTAAAGAAATTGCAAATGGAAAAACAGAGTGAGATTTATGTATTTTACATATGATCAATGCCATGAAGCATAAAAAATTTTGCCAACCTTTTGAATTCAGTAGCTGCTAGTGGGTTAACTGTGAAGGATCTCTTGTCATGGGAGAAACTTTGGAAAGTGCTATTGCTGATGCTACTGTGAATATGACCGTTAAGTAGCACAACTAGCAAGATAATTCATTGCCTTCTGCTTATTATTTATTATATCAATATTTCTTAGTGATTTTTCCTTCTTACCTAAGTTTCCATCCATGTTTGTTTATAAACACTTTCTTTTGACATCTTTTCAGAACCTTCCCCCTTCTCTTCATAAGCCAGAGTGACTATTTTGAGACCTCTGACTCTTGGAATATTTAAATAATGGCTGAGGTAGTTGTTTCTGTGACCACTTCTGATCTCTTTTACATGGGAGGACTGTTGATTCCTTTTGTATTTATGTATCATTTTCTTTCCCAAGTCTTTCTTCAGTGTTCCAGGCCTCATGCATAAAAATGTAAAAGTGTAAATTAGCCACCAGATTTAGTTATAAAAATGAACTTAGCAGGAAAAAAACCCTTTGTGTTCATTTGGGCTTTAACATAAATTATTCTTTTAATTGACTTTTCCTTAGAAAATTAGACATGCTGACCTACTTGCACCTGCTTGTATCAGCATATAAATTTAGAATAGTGAACGGATTGATTCTGTTATTTCAAAACAGATGTTTGTATATTTACAGGTTTCAGAAGAAAAATGTAAATAAGTCTACTGAGAAGAGTTAATTTATACATAGGTAGATGGTATAAAGAGTGTCACTCATCTCTGTACTTAAGATAATAAATCTACAGTTTTTATCTTTTTATCTATATTCACTTTTTTAATGTTTGGGAATTCTTGATTGGATAAAATACAATTCAACAGGGAAAGGAATTACTAATTATTGACCAATTACTGTATGCCAAGCATTTTGCCATATCCTTGACCTATTACATTGATTTTTAATAGGTAGCTATTATTCTAATTTTAGAAACCATGAACCCAAGCTTAGAAAAGTTATGTTATGATTTTTTTATGTATCTGTTTGCCCCTATTAAATTGTTAAGTTTCTTTAAATTAGGAACTAATTAGGAACTATTAGGAACTATTAAATTAGGAACTATTAATTCATAGCAAAATGCACAAGGTCTGACACACATTAAATGTTGAGTAGGTCTGTGTTTGTTGAAAATTACACAGCTAATAAGAGACAGAACTGGGGATCAACTCAGAACTTGCCTGAATTCAAAACGTATGCTATTTCTACTAGTCCATATTGTCATATCAGTTCTATGACATCTATCCTTCCTCCAGTCTGTCGTAATACTTTATATATTTCTTATGCTACTATATACTGTCTTAACATTATTTTTTTTACATATTATATCTTCATATTTATTTGTTCATTTAATCATTTTTGCTTTTATTCATTCAACAAATATTTATTTAGCATCTGCTCTGTGAAAAGTCCTCTGCTAGGTGCTGGGAATATAGTATTAAAAAAGATGAACAATGTCATTATGGGAATCACATCTTTGTGTTCCCCCAGATGCCTTGAGCTCAGTAGTAATAGTATTAATATTGTGATTAAAAGTGAGGGGTCTTAAGTTCAACTCAATACGAATACCAGTTCTTCTGTTTATTAGCTGTGTGTGCTTTAGTTACTTCCTATCTGTAGTAGAATTGTTGGGAAGATAGTCATAGATTGAACTATGTGAAATTGCTATTTATTTAGGTCTAAAAACATTTGAATATCAGAAACTAAAAATATTCAACTTAATATAACTAAAGCTCTTAGAACAATGTCCAAACTAATATTTTTTAAGTGTATATATGAAAGTCTTTCAGCTGCACTTAAAGAAATTTGGGCATGTTGTAAGGTTTCTAAAATTTGATAGTCTTTATAATCTTTTTTATTTTATTTTTTTCTTTTTTTGGACTATAGAAAAGGCAAGTATAACCTGTTTAATCTTAAGTCACATATTATATCAAAGTCAGGTATCAGGTAGTAGTGATAGAAAAACATAATTTCTAGTGCATGTGAAACGAATTGATTTTGTTTCAGACGAACCTTCATAAACATTCTAGTTACTGCTCACTTTGGTAGAGTTAATTCAGAAACTGACTCCTGAAAACTAAAAGCTAGAAGTGTGGCTTTTTAAATTGGGAGTTATCTTATTATAAAGAATTATGGTTATTAGACTAAATGCATGAATTAGAAATCAAAATTTAGATTATTTCTCTATCGTTTTTTGAAAATTCATTTTATTGATATAATTCACATGTCATAAATTTATACCTTTAAAATATATAATTTGGTGGCTTTTACTATGTTTACTAAGTTGCACAGTCATCACCACTAATTCTAGAACTTTTTTATCATCCCTGAAAGAAATGCTATAGTTGCTCCCCATTTTCCCTCTTCCCAGCCCCTGACGACTACTAATCTATTTTTTGTCTTTTTACCTCTTATGGACATTTAATATAAATGGAATCACACAGGATGTGGCCTTTTATGTCTGGTTTCTTTCATTTAGCATAGTGCTTTTAAGGTACTTCCATAGTATAGTATGGATCAGTACTTCATTCTTTTTTGCTTGAAAAATATTCCATTGTATGAATATATTCCATTTGTTTATTCATCAGTTGATGGACATTTGAGTTATTTCCACTTTTTGGCTTTTATGACTAATGTTGCTATGAACATTCACATGCACAGTTTATACAGTCATATGGTTTCATTTCTCTTGGGGGTGTATCTAGAGTTTATAATTGTTGTATGTTGTCGTTGGTCTTGTTTGTTTATTAGTTTTCCTGAACTAATTCTGTAAAGTCTGTGTTATTTGTATATATGTCTACTGAAAACTCTCCTTGTTAGCTTAATGGTTAGCTAATGATCAGATAGACATTTCCTTAAATGCCCTAATCTGTCTCCCACCCTTTTTTGAGGGGCTCTGTGTACATGTTGGGGTGTATCTGTAGTGCTGCTTAGCCTTAGCCTTAACTCTGCCTTAGCCTTTACTTCTGCTTGCGCAGAGCCTCAAAGTCTGCCAGTGATGAGAAATTAAAACCTTCTCAGTTTTTTATTGGGTATATCCACAGCCCTGCAAATGTTACTGGCCCTCTTGAGTCCTAGGAGTATATCAGAAACTTTTTAAAGACCCCTTTGAAAATCTCATTCCCTAATTTTTCTTTTTAAATTTTTTGGTCAGCTTCTTATTTACTTAACTTTCATTGCTGCTTCAGACAGCTTGAATATTAGACAGTTGCCAGTGATTTTTTTTTTTTTTTTGCTGCTGTTGCTGTTGTTGTTTTTGACAAATGCCCAAGGTAAAAGGCTATTTGCAGTTGAGTGAGCTCTTCTGAGTCAGGTCAAGAAAAACAAGGCCTGTTAGTAGAGGTTTCCAGGGAAATCATAGACATGTCAAAAATAGCATTCTCTTAGGATAGGACCTTTGGGGAGCTCCAAAGCTATTCTGTTCCTCTTTCCCCCCTAACCCCCTTTCCCTCCCAACACACCCCAGTGGTTATTGTGCTGCTAGTTTTCTCACTATATGATTATGAGGCTGTTGGTTTTCAAGGCTACTCTGGAGCTAGAAAAAGGGAGATGGATATAGGACAACTTAAAAAGCTACAAATCTGACCTTTACTACTGAGATTCAGCCATTTTTCTCGAATAAACACTCCTCAGATTGTTGTAAGCTTTGATTAATTTCCAGAGCTCTGAAAAAGTCTATTTTGACAATCTTTGCTAATATTTCATTGTTTTATGGGTGAGTGGATTTTTGTAGTTCATTTTGAAAGGGCTCAACTTCCCTATTTGTCATTGATATTTTAAAAGTGTTAGACATGTAACATAATTTTTTGTCTTCTGTTATTTATTTTGAAAAAAATCTATCTCAGCTATTTTTATTCCTAAACGTTAATAGGTGCTTAATATTATTATATAGCAAATAAATATTTATTTTTGTCTTCATATTTCATATGTCTATCCATCATTTATTTATTCAGCATTTATTAAGCATTTACTCTGTATAGGCTAGTAGGGTAAAGCTAAATAAGATATGGTCCCTGTTTCAAGGAGCTCCCAGTTTCGTAGGGAAGATTAAGAAAAGATCAACAACTGTAAAAAAACTGTTGTTATAGATCTACTAGCAGGTATGTAAGTTGTATCTTTGTATATATCTTCAGGGCCTGGCACACCATCATTTCTCACTTAGACTATTGCAGCAAGCATCATCATCATCATCATCTTCATCTTTACAATTCAGTTTCTATACGATAAGCAGAATAATCTTTATAGAATGCAAATTAGATTATGTTACCCTGTCTGTTTGAAAACCTTCAGTGGTTTTCATTAGCCATAGGTTCCAGCCTCACATCCTTTTTATACAATTCTCAGGAATATCTTATTTTGTTTGCTGTGCTGTCTCATAATTCATGCTTTCATGATTTTGGGCTTACTTCACTTCCTAGAACATGCCAAAACTCTTCCTTGTCTCAAAGTGTTTGCACATATTGTTTCATTTGCTGGGAATACCTGTTCCTTAATTCTTTGCTTAGCTGACTTCTGATCATTCTGGTTGTTGTCTGCTTAAATATTATCCAGAGTGGCTTCCCTAATCCCCTGCCTCACATCCTAAGTTATATATTCCTATTTTAGTTTGTGCTTTTATATACAATCTTTATGACAGGATTTACATATTTGTATTTTTGTAACTATATTTTTATGCATATTTGTTTAATATATATTCAGCTAGAATATAATCTCTGTGAGGAGGAGTATATCTTTGGCCCATATTATGTCCTCAATAAATGTACACAAATGAATTAATCAGTGCACAGAAGACATTCAGTCAAATATATTTTTATCTGAATTTTAGCTTAGGGTGTACTCAATTCTGCTGGGTAGCAATGCTTAACAAAACTCTTGAAGGAGTAATTTGTGTTAGATGAAAAGGGGTGTGATACTATAGGATAGCAATAGGAACATCAGGTGGAAAGGTCCAGAAGTGTGAGAAAATAAGACTTAGGAGAGCAGTTCTCAAACTCTTCAGTTTTAATATCTTATAACTCTTAAAAATTATTGAAGACTTAAAAGAGGATTTTTTAAGAAATGTAGGTTGTAGCTATCAGTATTTACCATAATAAAATTAAAACTGAGAAATTAAGAGAATATTTGATTTACCTAAAAATAACAATAAGCCCACTACATGTTAATTTAAATATATCTTTCATGAATAATAACCGTATTTTCCAAAGCAAAAAAGAATTGTGAGAAGAGTGGCATTGTGTTACACTTTTGCAAATCTCCTTAATATCTGTCTTAATCAAAGATGGCTAGGTTCTCAGATCTTCATTCAGTCTGTTGCTGTATTTTGTATTAGTTGAAGTGTATAAAGAAAGTCTGATCTCACTCAGATAAGTGGTTGGAAGAGAAAGGAGTATTTTAATAGCCTTTCAGATAATTGTGATATTCTTTGATATTAAAACAAAGCTTAACATTTTAGTTGCAATATCAAATCAGAAAATATATTAATTAATTTTTGTACTTTATTACATTATAATTAACTGGTCTGTCTTGCAGTTTGAGTGGATCTTTTATGTATGTATGATTCTATAACACTATGCATCAGTTATTTAGAAAATACTGAGTTATTGAACCATGCAAGTTTTCAAAATAGTGACACATTTCATTATACACTATCAAAATATCATATTAACATCATCAACACTAACCATCAGAAAGTCTTGAGTCTTGGAAAACTGTCAAACAGGTCAGTACAAATTAGACAGAATTTTACATTTTTGCTTGAAAGCTTGCATTTTATCATTGGCAACCAATACTGCTAGCTATTTCCTTGAAGTAAGTGACAGGCTTACTTATTCATTTTTGAGAAAATGTCAGTCAAATACTCAAGTCTTAATAACCAGAGTTTTTCCAGGGTAGGGATTAATTATCTTGCCCAGGGTCACACAGCTAGTAAGTGGCAGAGTTGGGAGTGGAGATCAAATCTTTCTATATGTTGTATTGCCCCATGTGTAAATTATTTGGGACTTGCCAAAGCATGTTCTTACAATAGTGTATTGTGGTGTTTTTCCTAGAGAGCATGAATGGTTTAAACAAGATTTGCCCAGTTACTTATTTCCTGAAGACCCCTCCTATGATGCTAATGTCATTGATGATGAGGCTGTGAAAGAAGTGTGTGAAAAATTTGAGTGTACAGAATCAGAAGTAATGAACAGTTTATATAGTGGTGACCCTCAAGACCAGCTTGCAGTGGCGTATCATCTTATCATTGACAATCGGAGAATAATGAACCAAGCCAGTGAGTTCTACCTCGCCTCAAGTCCTCCAACTGGTTCTTTTATGGACGATAGTGCCATGCATATCCCCCCAGGCCTGAAACCTCATCCAGAAAGGATGCCACCTCTTATAGCAGACAGCCCCAAAGCAAAATGTCCATTGGATGCACTGAATACGACTAAGCCCAAATCTTTAGCTGTGAAAAAAGCCAAGTGGCATCTTGGAATCCGAAGTCAGAGCAAACCATATGACATTATGGCTGAAGTTTACCGAGCTATGAAGCAGCTGGATTTTGAATGGAAGGTAGGAAATTGTAGTGTATTAAGATAATTTGTAGAAGCCATTTTGCTGTATAGTAAGCTGCTCTGAGCTGCTACGTAGAGTACTGAGGTCAGTAAAAAGTTGGTTTTGATTTAGATATAAATTCAGTAGTCTTGATACTTTTGGCTGACAAACACCATTCTTTCCAATAATATATCATGCGCATTCAAAACAAATAACCTCTATATTAGGATGAAGAGCTATTGATGTTGGGAACCTACATGTTTTGAATTATAGAATAGCATTCTTGGTTGAGAAACAACAAATAATCAACTTGAAATCATCTGAGAAAAAAGCCTGTTTCAGCATGCATCGTAGAAATAAAAAGTCACGAGTCTTCAAAGATAGAATATTTTTTCTTTCTCTTTTTTTAGGGAGTTGTTTTTTCTTTTCTTTGGAGGGCAGGAGTGGATGGCTGTAATAGTGGTCAAACAGATTATACCATCAAGACATATTTATTCAGTAAACAAATAGTTTCCTCCAAGTTGGGAAATTCTCTCTTAATTGGCTGGTGCTTTTAGTACTTCCTCAGCCTACATTTTGCTTTTTAAAAAAATTAGTACTCAATTTCATTTCAATTCTATTTGAATATATGGGGGGAACACATTTTCATTTCAGATACTCCTTTCACTCTTATTCTTTTCTTGTGGACTGTCAACATTTTTTTTAAAGGAAGAAGAAAAATGCTTGAACTTACTGTGTAAATATTCATTTGGCATGTTTGCATAAATCAGTTTCATTCTCATTTCACTATTTGTACATGAAATGAATAAATATTTTCTTAAAACCATTTAAAAAACAGATCTCTCATTTTTGAAGCAGTTTTATATAGTTACAAAGAGATGTTAACATCTTTAAAAATCTGTATTGAAAAATTTTTGAAGCTAATGTCATAGATGTTTTGAAATCTTCTTTTTCTGGGCCACAGGATTTTTTTTCTTCAAAAGACAAGTAATATTTTCCTCAAGGGGTTTGTGATACTTCAATTCTGTGACCGTACCCGATGTGGACCATTAACGTGTTAGTTCCCCTCTATTCCCTGTACTTCATTTTCATTGGTAAATGTATTCAAGCAGAGACTGGGCAACCAAAATTATTATTGATGTTTATAGAGGATGCATATCTGGAGTGAAGGCTAGATTGTGTATAATCTCTGAGTTCCGTTTGCATTTTTTTTAATACCCCAAATTCATTCAAGTAGTTTTCCTTTTACATTTTAATTGCTATACACAAACAGTACCACTAGTGGGGATTAAAGAAATGCTAAAGCGAACTACCTATAATATAAAAAAAAAAAAAAATCATTCAGAAATTCCTTCCCTACCCAACCTCTATCAATTATTTGTTTTTGACATTCTTCACAATAAGAAGGGAGACATTTTATAGTTTGTTAAATTTGTTGATTTCCCATTTTAGGTAGTGAATGCATACCATCTTCGTGTAAGAAGAAAAAATCCAGTGACTGGGAACTATGTCAAAATGAGCTTACAACTTTATCTAGTTGACAACAGGAGCTATCTTTTGGACTTTAAGAGTATCGATGGTAAGAAAGTTTGCAGGCATGAGCTCTGAGAAGAGAAAACTTGGCACTAGTTGACCAGATGTTAAAGTCTTTCCAAAAACATGGTAGGTAGGTCTTTTGCACTGATTTTTAAGTAATCTAGACTTAACCAAGATGTAAGTGGAAATGAAAAGGATGAAAGACACATGGAATATCTCTTACCTAGCACCTTTCCAAAAAAAGTGCTTCCTTGGCATAAAAAAGTTATTTGAGGTCGGGCGCGGTGACTCACGCCTGTAATACTAACACTCTGGGAGGCCGAGGCGGGTGGATCGTTTCAGCTCAGGAGTTTGAGACCAACTTGAGCAAGAGCAAGACCCTGTCTCTACTAAAAAAAGAAAAAAAAAAAAAGAAATTAGCTGGACAACTAAAAAAAAAAATATATATATATATATATATAAATTAGCCGAGCATGGTGATTCATGCTTGTAGTCCCAGCTACTCGGGAGGCTGAGGCAGTAGGATTGCTTGAGCCCAGGAGTTTGAGGTTGCTGTGAGCTAGGCTGATGCCATGGCACTCTAGCCTGGGCAACAGAGTGACACTGTCTCAAAAAAAAAAAAAAGTCATTTGAAGTGTTGACTGTAGAGCAAAAGTAAGGAACAACAAAGAAGCAACTTTTACCTAAAATCAGCCAACTTGTCAGGTTCTTTGTAACATTTCTCCACTCACATTTTGTTAGTTAGATTTAATATCTAAACTTTCTCCTTCATCAGCTTCCCTCATCCTGAGTGGCCAACGTGACCAAATAGGCCTCTGCTTGGATTTGGGTTGGATTTAGGTAGCCATGGCAACCTAGGTGCCAAAGGAATCATGGAAAATGGTCACTTCTGAGTACTTAGTGCATGCCGAGAATTAAACCCAAGTAAACCAAATATGATTATTCAGTTCAGAGACCCAAGTGGGATAAAAATAGAATAAACCAAGGGTCAGGTGCTAGAGATGAAACAAGAGTAGAACTGAGTTTAGAGTTAGGGAAATTGTTATAAAAAAGCACTTAAATATTATTCTCAAACTATCATCAACTATAGGAATGTTTACATAGATCCAGGATCACCTTCATTAGAATTACCCATTGTTCTTATTAAAATGCAGATTCTTGGGAACCACTCAGACCTACCAAATCAGAATTTCTGGAGACTGGTCCTGGGCAACTGGGAATCTGCATTTTAACAAGATTTCTCTTGCATTGCTTCTCCTAACCAAGGTAGTTCCTATGTGCACAGAAGGTTCAGAACCACTGTACGATGGTAACTTTTGCTTTTATCATAATGATTTTTTTTTGTTGATATGCTAGAAGAAAGTAAGTTGCCAAAAAAATGTGCTTTCTTCACATGCAGGAATATCAGTTTGATTTCAGTGTTAATGCCAGATACTTTATTGAGAAGGATTTAGGGGCCACATTTTGTGTGCAAGTGTTGCGATTGATTAGTGTTGTTTGCTATGATTGTGGGAGAGAAGAGGTACTGCCACCCCTGCTCCTAACACACTAAAACATGACATTCACTGTTATGTTGCCCTTGCTGAGATGCACTTACTTAATATTGTGAATAGCATAACTTCATAGGAAGGGCTTGGGCAAATATACTTTTCATATAAATTGCTCTTCTTTGGTCCATTTCAGATGAGGTAGTGGAGCAGAGGTCTGGTTCCTCAACACCTCAGCGTTCTTGTTCAGCTGCTGGCTTACACAGACCAAGATCAAGTTTTGATTCTGCAACTGTGGAGAGCCATTCACTTTCTAGCTCTCTGACTGGCTCTTTGACTGGAAGCATATCATCTTCAGTTTCACCTCGCCTGGGCAGTCACACCATGGATTTTTTTGAAATGTGTGCAAGTTTGATCACTACTTTAGCCCGTTGATGATCTGTCCCTAGTTGCTATCTTTCTGTTATTGCACTGTGAAAATGAGATATATTCTTTAAATTATTATCTTACTTCTGGACAACATACTCTGCAATACTAATTGAGAGATGTGAGTATCTCCAGGAGACACACAATGACGGTGAAATTACTGAAAACAAAAAAGTCTGGCATTTGCTTGTAGAAATCTGCAATTCTATTGTGCCTATGATAAATGCACATAGGCAATATCTTTAATAGGTGAACATGGATGCAGATTGTTAATTACAATTGTAAGTTCACTGCAAATGATTAATACACCTCACTGACAAACCATCTCAATGTAAGGGTGGCTTGGCAACACCTCCTTGCTTTACTGTTTAGGTAAATCCAGTTTACTTCCTAAATTTCAGTAGGCCTTAAGCTGCTATGTCCCTGTTTTCTTGCACAGGAAGATTAGAAAGTAAAAAAAATCATCAATAAGATATTATTTAAATGCTCAAATCTTAAAAGCTTGCCCCCAAAATTTCAGAAGCCAAGTTCTTCTAACAGTTCTTTACAAATACTGCCTAGTGTTCAACAGAAAGGCTGTGGTCCTATAACAGGTAACCATAATTTCCAGGTTCCTTTAAAAACTGTAACTGATTCTGGATTGTATCTTGATATTTTCTTGAATAATATATTTATCTTAAGAGCCTTTAAGGTTCAACTTAATTTTGGAACATCTGGAATTGCAACAATTTTCATCTTTTCCATAGACTTCTGTCATTTTAAAATATACCTTCAAAACCTCCCTTTCTCAGATTCTTTTTGATTCTATTTATTTTTATACTTCACCAAGAATAAAATAAACAAAGCAAAATATCAACAATCCCATAAAAGAGATTATCCTCTATCTTTGTTCTTTTATTTTGTGTGTTAGGTTGTTAGGATCATGTTGTATTTTACAATGCTAATTCTTCATTTGAAGCCATCACCTTCCACTACCTTCCCTAGGCACTATAGTCTTTTTCATTATTTGATCCTCAGTGGCTGATTGACTTAGTTTTTGAGTTTTTTCTGGTTCCCTTTCTGGGTTGCTAGCCATTCAGTTTGAAAAAACACTGTTCTGGCCCAAAGGGCTTTTATGTACTTCCAAAGCTTGATAGGCTGTGACCTTCACTGTTGAACCTGGTAGGGCAGTAAAGCCTTAAACATTTTTTAAAATTCTCTCTTGAATAAACATATGTGTTGTTTACATATATACATATATGTATTCACATACCAGTACTTTTAATTGAAAACCAAACCGTGTTTTTGTTTTGCTTTGTGAAGGTTTTTTTTTTTAAGATTAAAAAAACACACAAATTATATATAGCAGGGTAGATAGTAGCTCATTGATTATATTTTGTTTTAGTAAAAGTATTTAATTTTTAAATTATGTGTAATTTATCTAATTTGTATTTATTCATTTGTTATGTTTATGCTGTAATTGATAATCTCCTTCACCAGACTTACCCTAGAAAATATTAAGCTCTTGAAAACAAAAATGACATTACCTTGACAGATTTCTGTTTGCCAAAAATAATGTATTTTCTACCAAGAAGCAAATGAGACTGTTAGACCAGGTTTCTCCTATGTTTATGGAAGACAAGCATGTCTATCTTTAAATAGTTTTTGAGTCAGGAATTTGCATTGTGTCATATCATGTTGTTTCGTAGACCTTTTAAAAATGGTGTTTAAATAACTTGTAAGTCTTCTTAATATCAAAATGAAAGGAATCTTTGTTCATCCATTTGGGAAAGAGGGTGGGGTTGCAGTTTGAGATAGTTTAAGGTTTAATCTTTGAAAGACTGCCATCTCGTGGCACCAAAGGGTAATACTTTTAATGATTATTTGTATAGGGATAAGCAGTCCTGTGTTAGTCTGATATGTGTTATAGATAGATACTACGTAGTTTTGGCTTCTCCAAATGTGTACATACCTCTTTTGGGAAAAACAGGGATACCTATTAATATTTTCCTGATTGTGAATGGAATGATCTTAGAAATAAGGAACTAATAAGATCCCTTATCCCTAGTGACAAAATCCATACCAATTTTAAAGGCAGAGAAACAGCCGAGGAATCTAGTGGCATTTTAGCTTTGCTAGTCTAATAAATCAGATATTAGAAACTTGTTATCATAATTACTTTATATCAATGATTATCATGTTTTTTGAGTTAATTTATTCACTATTTTCTCACTCTTGCCATTATTTATGAACATCCACATTTGATAGTTACATGTTTAATTTGGGGAAAACAACAGTCACAGATTTGGTGCTTTCATGTGTAGGGTTTTCAAACATAGCTATTCCATGAATCTAGTGGGTATAGTAAATTAGTTTGTAGAGAGACAATTACAGGAGAACTCAGTCCAGTATCATAGGGGCTAGAACATTGTCATGGCAGGCTGTTTGCTGCCTGTGGGCACAGAGAGTGAAAGAATCAGTTGCTTACACAATATTCCCACACTTTAGTCTTATAATCTATGGTTGTGGTAGGTAGATCTGGGCTAAGAACAGTTTGTCCCAGTTGAGATTTTAGAAATTTTCTATTAGGTTATAGGTAAGGCCTTAGCTATATCACGGACTCCATATGGTTCCAGAATAGCATTTCCTGAAGTATATCCTGTGATATGCTCTGCAGGAAAAAAAAAAAAAAAAAAAGAATCCATGGAGAAAGTTTGAAAATGTTTACATGCTACTCTATCCCTTAAGAATGATGGTGGATCTGAGCATTAAAGACTGATAAGTCCTTCCATGAAAAAGGACAACCATGTAACTTTCTTTAGCTCTGCTTTGCCCAAATTAATTAATCATTTTTAAACATCTGATGAGAAAAAGAAAATTTGGAAACTATTAGGGAAATTATGTACCTGGTTGCCATAATTAGGGTAGTTAAGAATGAAATTAAGGTAGTACCTCCTTTTTCCCTTGGTTGGGAAGAATCTGATTCAAATTCAGAATCATTTCATTTGAACTTGCAGACATGTTCATCTTGAATGAATGCTGGACTAAACAGAATTTTTTATGTCTGCAATTTGTTTTATAATCAGGTTGTGGTAATCAGGTTGTGTATTGTTTGGGTGCAACATTTATTCTTTTTTTGTGTCGAGTGACTGAAAAATCTTAAATGTGATTACTTGAAAAAAAAAAGATTAAGAGACTAAGTGACTTATGCTTATAGCTCTATAGGTAGTAAGTCAGTATCACTGACACTTTCAAAATGTGTAGGAAGTGAACATTTTCTAAATATTTTTGTGTAGGATACCACATTTAGATCTAATCCCTGTTATCTTTTAATGTAGGACCAGATACCTTCTTAAATTGAATATTTAGGGAGGGAAGTAGGCAAACCATTTACAAGTTAGGTTTTTGTTTTGATCAACAAACCTTTTAAGAGACATTTTTATAATCTCAAGCGTTTACATTTCTTGATACTAGCCATCTATCAATATAAAGAGAATCCAGGAGCCTAAATTAATCAGAAATAATTGTATTTCTGTGTCAGGGAATTGGCTATATGTAGCACAAACAATTTTCCATTTTCTGCAAATAGTAGGTTTTCCAGAACAGTTACATAATTCTGTGCTTGCTTTCTCTTATTCCCTAGCCAGTTTGTACTCAGGGAATACAGATTGATTTTTAGTATTAAATGAGACATAATTTAGTAAATAATCTATTACAGATTTTTTGACTATTTGGATTTTTACATAGCATCTATTAATGTGCAGTATACTGAGTTAATGTACGCACTACACTTTTCATTTATAAAATTTAGAAGCCTGGAACATAACCTACCACAGATACCACATTGTTTCTATTCACTGGTTAATAATTTATATGCCGTTAATGGTTATAGATATTTAGATATTAGCAATATCTAAACGCTAGACATATTCACAGTTTTATCTGTTTCTGTTTGTTTTTAAAGACCCAAACCTTTTCAATCTGGCATTTCTTTACTTGGTAGTCCTGTTACCCTGTGGCTTTTAAAATAAGGAATGTAATTTATTTTAATATCAGAGACTCTATTAAAAACTCTGGATGAGGGATATGTGCAATCTGTTGGTAAGTCACATTCTATGTTAGGTCTCATTTTTGTAACCCATAAAATGGGAGAGAGAGATTACAAGACCTCTATGGTAACTTTGAGCTTTAAAGTTCTGTTTTTTCTGCCTTTTCTTATGATTTGTGTTAGAGTGCATTTTTTATATATTAAGAGTTTTTATACTAGTGTGAATGTTCTATTTTTGATTTGGTGAGGCATTTCAAAGGCATAAACTTGAATATTTTTCTAAATACAGCTACTAAAGTAATACAAATGATAGAAATCATCCAGAAAACTAAACATGTTGAGACATTATATCCATTTGGCATAAAGCAAAACATTACTAATTTGGAATAATGGAAATGTTCTAGACGTTTTTATAGTGACTGTTACATCCAGAGACCCTCTGTATCTGTTAACTTATTAATACAAAAACCTTGTGAGGTAATCAGGAAAAGTACTTTTACCATTTTCCAGATGAGGAAGCCGGACCAGAAAGCTTTTCATAAATGCCATACAAGTATTCAGCGGTGATCAAATGCTCTTTATAGCATGCTACCTTTCCTGAATTAATGAAACGTGAGTAGTTGGTAACAAAACTAAACAGATGTATTGCTTTCAAGACTTAGAGTGACATAAAGCAGTCTTAACTAAGTATTTCTTAGTTTAACTATTTGAACCAGTTGATTGTACAAACTAGATATTTATCTGATTTATGATTAGCATATTCATTTTTATAAGTACTTCTAAGTTAATGAGGGTGTTTAAAAAACACTGAAGAAACTTTAGGACATGATTCTTCCTGTAATTTTATTTATGGGATTCTTACGGCACAGTCTTTTTTTAAAAAAGGAATACTAACCCCAGTCCCTATCTAAATTATTTTAATTTTTGACTGTTATATGAATTAGGCCTACCTAAATTTCATAGAAAGATTGATAGTTTTTCAACCTGTATGCATATGAGATGATATAACACTATTTTCATAGAGTATATTTCTATTTACAAGCCACCTGTTATTTGCTTGACATTCCCCCAGACCATATAAAACTTTGAAATGTAACTTATGTTTGGTGAGCTTTAAGAATTACATAAACCTTACTTAAACAAGTTACTGGCATCCTTACTAGCTTTTCCCACATATAATTATGATGCATTTGATGCCACTGAACAATAGTAGCATGAAGAACAGGACCTACAGTCTAGACTGGATTGAGTTTTAATTAAATTTCTTCAGCCATAGCCTGATAAGAATCAGGCTGGGTCTAGAAGAATTACCAGACTGTGGGCCTATATTAATTTTGTGAGCCGGTGTTAATGTTTACTGCTATCCTTTCATAGCAATGCCAGTTTCACAACCGTGACTGTATATGTGACTTTTGGTAACTATGGTTTATATCTAAAGTAATTTAGACTTTATGGAAGTAGCTCATGATTATTTGGACAAGCAGGGTAGGTAAATTTCAATTATGTTTAAAATGTAATTAAGGAAATCCTAGAGTAGAGCACTCTTTCCAGGAAAACGAGTTAAGTATTTATAAAGTATCCTAGCATGAAAACTTTATTGACTATATGTAGAATTCTGACAAGGTTCACATAGTATGACTTTTTTTAAATTTAAAGTTTGCTACTTTGTTGATTTAACATTTCAAGGAGGAACAAACATTCTAGCCAAGGAAAATTGCACGGTTAATTTTTTCTGCTAATTTAAGCATGCATTTTTCATAATTAAAACTTACTCCCTTAATTAAAACTTACTCCCTCTTGAGTAAGTTTTGTTACCAAAAATGCCCATTTTTCTGGACAAATAACATTTTCCAAAAATGGAAAAAAGAAATAGATCCACTGTTGAAAAAATAAAAAAAAAAAAAAACCAACAATACAAAAAAACACACTAAATTGTGCCTTCTCTCAAATTATAGGAACAGTAGTAGTAAAAACTTGTTTATTTTTTGTAATCCCTTTCATTTTTCCTTAGATCTTCCCTCCACAAATGATTGCCTTATTTCCTTCTGTTTATTTTTAAGTTCCTTTGGCCAAGCCTCACACTATCACTGTCATAAGTTGTTCACTAAATATATTTTTCTATTTCTTCTTTCATGTTGTTTCATTTTTTTAAGTCACCTTGGTAAACATTTGGCTGCCTTCTCGTGCTTTTAAAATGAATGCAATGAATAGCAATCTTTATCTTTTAACCCTTTAAAAAGTTTGTAAAGGAAAGAAATAATGCAGAGATAAGAACAAAATCTAACTTGGAATCTGAACAGCAGCAAGTTGCACAAACTCATTTAATTTTCTCATTTACAAAATGTGGATAATAACCTACCTCACAGACGTGTGTGAGAAACTGTTAGAAGGCCCTTGTTTAAAACCAGGGTTTATATCCCCACATTTAATGTAAACCCCTTCCTTTTTTTAAATAGGTATCTTTGATACTGATGAGTATCTTGATTTTTACGTAAGTTTTATGTGGTAAGAACATAGTAGTAAAAATGTTTAAGAACACAGTTTCACAGGTTATGGTGTTCTTGTTTTAAGTGATATTTTAAATTTCTTGAAAACATTAAAAATTTAAATATCAAGCTTGTTTTGAATATTCTTATTCAGAACTTCTTAAAATGTTGGCTGAAGCTGCCTTAATGTATCAAAATACAGCTTTCTTGTAAGACTATTCACAAACATCTATGGTTGTACAATGTTTTGAATGTTTAATGTAAAGTTTTTATAGTACTGTGAACTCTAAGGATAGTATCTTGATATTGTTTTAGGAAGAATGTTTGTGTTATTATGTATGCTTAAATATTAGATCGTGGACTTTGAGTGCAACAAATAAAACTGAAAGTTGACAGCCATTATCAGGTTATGTCCATGACAATCATAAGATAATGTAAGATTAATCAGATATTGATTATTCAGTTTTTTTCAAGAGCAGCCCACATTCATTCTTTCTTAGCCCGTCTTTGAAAAGAAAAAAAAAAAAAGCAGCCCTTAGGTTGATACACATTAGCCCCTTGGAGTATTTTATTAGATATCCATTTAAATTTTTTTAAACTGTTGAAATTGGGACCACTTTTTATAACTGATTTCAGGAAAAAAAATGACTTCCAGTGCTTTTGTGTTTTAATAACCATAGATTCAAATTTCAGTTTTGTTTGTTATATATTTTTTGTGAATGTTAAATGATCAGTAGGAAGGATTTGTCTTCCAGTAACTATATGGAAAAAATGTCTTCTTGAATCACATGGCAGTTCATAGTTACAGGTTCTCTCTGATTATCTCCCTAATTAATGTTTGCACTGTATGAAACTTCAAGGCAACAAACACAAAAGAGAAAAGCAGCCTATCTGATTGCTTGTAAGCTTTTTTTCCCATAAAAATCACATTAAAGTTTCTGGTTAATTTGAAAATTGTTTTTTTGTTTCTGTTCTGTCATTAAGCTAAAATTCTGCATGCCACCTAATAAAGAGAAAGTTTTTATAGGAAAAGATTACTCATTGGAGATTTTATACCATCTTTTGTTCGTTTTTGTTATCTTGTACATTAGTTTTTAACTTTAGCTATTGTATTAGTTTTCTATTGTTGCAAAAACAGATTACTATAAACTTAACAGAAATTTATTATCTTACTGTTCTGTGAGTCAGAAATCCAGTGGGCTTAAGTGGTTTCTCTGCTTCAAGTTACTCAGGTTGAAAACCAACGCATTGATAGGGCTCTGCTTCCAGCCTCATTCTAATTGTTGGCAGGATTTAGTTTCATGCCATTATAGAACTAAGGACCCTATTTCCTTTATTGCTGTTGACCATGGATTCCTTCCTTCTGAAGGCCATCTTGAGGCCAATGGCATCTCCTGGCCCAAGGCTTCCCTCCATCTTCAAAGCCAGCAACAAGGGGCTCAGGCTTCTGATCTCTCCTCCTTCTCTTCCACCACATCTGTGTGACTGGGTGACTGACTCTCTGCCTTCACCTTCCAATTTTAAGGGCCCTTATGAGTAAGTTGGGCATGCCTGGATAATGTATTATTTGAAAAACGTTGTACTGTAACCCTCATTAAAAAGAAAGAAAAATGTGAACATATCAAAGTCAGGATATAAAGGTAAAAAATTTCAATTTTATTTCTCTAAAGAGAAGAATGGATTTGTTTTTATTAGTAAAAATATTTTTCCTTTATTTCCTAAATTGCACAGGTAATGGATGCTTATCATAGGAAATTTGAAGCTGAGAAAAACATTGCCCATACCCCACCCAGAGGCAGCCACTTCTTAGAGTTTTATCATTATATATTCATTTTTTCTCATTTCTGCCTCTTAGAATATGCTTTTTTAAAGTTCTGAAGATTTTCCAGAGAAGGCCTGGTCAAGAAGCATGCTGTGTCATCTTGGAAAACCACAGGTATGACAGAGGTTCAGGAGGGGGAAGGGAAAGTTTTGCTGGTGTGTATTAAGGTTGCTGGAAGCCAGATGTACATGTAAATGAATTTCTGAGTGGGCCAGTATTAGCCTCTGTTTGGATCAAGTACCTTTGCATGCTGGTGTTTATCTTATAAGATGGTATTATCTTTGCTATCTTTTTATACAAAATTCAAAGTAAAATAGAAACTCAGTCTTTCTATTGAAGCTTTATCCTAGATTAGAGTGTCTAAGAGACAGATCACATCTGTTTGGGACATCATTGTAGTCTTAGTTATGGTGTTTATATTTAAAAACCTTGCAGATCAATAATGTGAGAAATTTAGTTGGAATGCTTTAATTTAAATAATGGAGTAAATATGGCTGAAATTAGTGAAATAGAAACATAACCACATTAAGTATGGATAGAATGGATTAAAACATTTTTTTCTAAAAGCATACAATATCAATAAATAGTAATTAGGTACTAGTTTATGTTGACCAAATAGTTTATACTTTAAAAACATTTGAAGGCCGGGCACGGTGGCTCATGCCTATAATCCTAGCACTCTGGAAGGCCAAGGAGGGTGGATTGCTCAAGGTCAGGAGTTCAAAACCAGCCTGAGCGAAACCCCGTCTCTACTAAAAATAGAAAGAAACTAATTGACCAACTAAAAAAATACATATATACAAAAAATTAGCCGGGCATGGTGGCACATGCCTGTAGTCCCAGCTACTCGGGAGGCTAAAGGATCGCTTGAGCCCAGGAGATTGAGGTTGCTGTGAGCTAGGCTGACGCCACGGCACTCACTCTAGCCTGAGCAACAAAGTGAGACTCTGTCTCAAAAAAAAAAAAAAAAAAAAAAAAATTGATAGGTTTTTAACACTGAAACTTCGTTGTTTTTCTTTTTTTGGACAGTCCCAAGACATCAGCCTAGCTCACAGCAACCTCAAACTCCTGGGCTCAAGCAATCTCCTGCCTCAGACTCCAGAGTAGCTGGGACTACAGGCGTATACCACCATGTCTGGCTAATTTTTTATATTTTTGGTAGAGACAGGGTCTTGTCCTTGCTAAGGCTGGTCTTGAACTTCTGACCTCAAGAAATCCTCCTACCTTAGCCTCCCAGTGGCTAGGATTACAGGCATGAGCCATTGTGCCCAGCCTAGCACTGAACATTTTTCTGCGTAAGATAAATTTATCACATTCTAGCCTTCTTTCAAGTCTTAAGATTCGAGTATTTTTAATGGAAATTTATTTATTTTTGTGTTTCGTTTTGTTTCTGCTTTGTAACAGGGTCTCCCTCTGTTGCTTGGGCTAGCATACAGTGGGGTATTGTCATAGCTCACTGCAACTTTAGGTACCTGGCCTCAAGTGATTCTCCTGCCTCAGCCTCTGGAGTAGGTGGGACTAAAGGCATGCACCACCATGCCCAGGATAATCTATTTTTTGTAGAGATGAGGTCTGGCTATGTTGCTTAGGCTGGTCTTGAACTCCTGGCCTCAAGCGATCCTCCTGTCACTGCCTCCCAAGTGCTAGGATTACAGTCATGAACCACTGCGCCCAGCCAAAAATGTATTTTTGTTTTCAGTATCTTCCAAGTTCAGTAATGGCCAGGTACAAAAATAATACCATATATACAGTGTTATGTATTAAGAATTATAAAACATTTTTATTATTACATTACAGCATGCCAATAATCCTGTGAAGTAGACAAAATGAACGTTACTGGCCCTGTTTTACTAATGAGGAAATTGAGTCACAAAGAGCTGAGTCATTGAGTTAGAACAAGAAGTCCTACAATGAGGTAGAGAGTACATGGGACAAACCTATCTCAGTCCAAATTTAGTCCCACTGTCATATGCCAAGATTTAAAATACCTCGTGGTTTGGTGAAATGGCAAGAGTGACATATGGTTTATGATTTTTTGGACAGGATTATCGCATGGAAAGTTTCTGCTCAACATAGCTGTATACTCTTACCTCCTTTCCCACAGGGCATACTTATCCCCATCTTCCACAATGTAACAGGCTTTGTCCTAGAGAGCAGAAGAAGGCTGTAATTGCCTCTGACTAGGGGGTAAGTTTAATTCATGGGGTCTAAGCAGAGTTTGGTCTCTAGTCCAAGCATATTCCCAATCTTCAGTAGCAGTCTTAATCTCATCTCGCCAAAAGGAAGTCTCAGAACCATTTCCTAATTCTCCTTCTCTCTCACATCTAATCAGTCACCAAGACATTCTGTTTTCTTTACCTCTGTAATACCTCAATGGGACTCCTGTGCTATATATTTCTGTTACTGCTGTCTTAACTTAAGGTCTAATGCCCCTTTGCCTAGAATTTCATAAAAGCAATTAGTCTCTCCTCTATTATCCATATTGCTGTGATTGCTCTTTTCCCCCCTAAATATCTGGGATTTCCTTTCTGCTTAACCCTTCAGTGGCTCTTTATCCTCTAGAGGAAAGAGTACAAGTGAACTCAGCGAACTGTGTCACATTCTAGCCTCAACTTACCCCTTTGCAAACGGCTCTTGCCATTTCCCACCCTACACTCCATTTACTTAGAATTTCTTCATAGTCCATCTCTGTGCCTTGTCTAGCAAATATATTTTAAGACCAAACTTCAGTGTCACTTTCTCTGTAAAAACTCTTAATCCTCTAGCCAATTCCATTCATATCTTATTTTAATTATGTCATATGTAATAATCTCTTTACCTATTTCCTTCTCTAACCTGTGAACTCTAATGAATTCTTCAGATTTCTGTCTTTTAGAATAAGCTGGGCCTTTATTGGTAAATGCCATTTCAAAGAACTTAGAAGCTTAAAAAATAGTTTCCAAGTATAAAGGATGAGGCCCTGGAAACAAATTCTGTCACACTCTTGAAGGCCAGCATCCCCATGCTGAAAAAAGCCACTTAAGAAATTATAACAGTTGAATGCATATGTAGAATTTATTTACTTCATTGACATGCAGGGCATACCAAGCTCAGCATTTAAACTTTTATTTACTTTCATATGTATTCTATTTGAATAGGTATGTGAGCATAGACAAAATGGCAATTTTCCTTAATTTGGGCAACAGGATGTTTTACAGTGATACAGTGTATATATTATTTTGTTAAATACATTTAAGCACCTACAATGATGTTGGGTGAATTTAGGAATAAATGATTTTTCAGTAAACTATTTCCAAAAGAAACCAATATTAAACAGAATACTTGTGATTTTATTTTTGTGATAAAGCAAAAGGACACTTTTTGACTCAGCTTTTAAAAAAATATTTTAAGACTGTACCTTAAATTTGAGTATTTAAAAGACCTTGGTTACAACTGGTTACACTATTTACTGTTCAGAATTATACCAAATTTTAATGGACAACATCTAGAAATTGTAAACTCTCATGTACTAATATTAGAAACAAACTAACCATCTGCACAACTGACTAGGTGCCATAAGGCATGATTTCTAACTTTGGATATGGCTCATTAAGCAAGTGCTCAAATGCTAACACACACTGTTTCACATTCTCTTAAACTGGCAGTGAGACAGATGCTGAAATAGACATTGAAAGATAACCTTAGGAGTAAAACCAACATCTAATGTTGAGAATTTGTTTTTATTTTTCTCTTCTAAGTTCTGAATGAAAGTTTCCACAGATTCCACCATCTCATTTTGACATGTGAACTAAGATTTTGGACTAATTCTCGCTTGTGCAGCCCATACCATTTGATCTTGATCCTCCTAAGGTGACCAACTTTGGGGCCTGAGAAAAAAGAAAAATATACATATACAAACATTTTGAAATGTAGGCAGGAATAATGAGTTGGAGATTTCTAGGGAATTTCTCATCTAGTTCAATATTTTTATGTTCCTTTAAAATATTTATAATGTTCTGTGGAGAAGTTTGATAACATATTCAGGAGACACAATAATATGTCCCTTTCAATGTACTCCTTATGGAACAGGGTACTGTATATTTAATTTTTAAAACTTTTCCTGATTTTCAGTAAATTTACTACTCTTCCCTTGGGCCTAATGCATACAACAATGTATTAAGTATTTAGAACTCATGATTAGAAGTATAAAAGAACTAATACTTACTTGAAATGTAGATTTTCAATGAGCACATATCCATCTATAGAAACAAAAATCACTGTTACTAATTTGAAAGTTACAGAGAGAATGCTTTAAGATTCTTTAAAAAACAGTGATAGGAATTTTATGGGCAATAAGCCAATAAACTTACATTTGCCTTTAGAATTACGACATATCACTAGATTTTGTTCAGTGGTATCAATGACTTCCAGTTCTTCTCCAGGGATTATTGGCAAATCAAATATTCCATTTCTTGAACTATTGGAACATACCACTGCTGTGTTGATGACAGTAATCTCTTTGTCATACTGAAATGAGAAATTACTAATCAGATCATTTTTGCATAGTTGCTATTTTTCATTATATAATAGAATCAATGGAGGATATAATATAGTAATCTCAAAATAAACTCAAGATACTAGATTAGACTACTTAAATAATACTTAAGGGAAGAGCAAAGAATGGGAAAGTTATGGTAAAAGGAAAGTCATTTAAGAAAATAATAGTAAAATGCTATAATCTTACCTTTGTTTGCTATGGATTTTCAAAGTGTTTTTACAACCAATATCTAATTGTACTAGAATGAGTCCTGGTAGACAAAAAGGCTGTAACATGGATATCAAATCAGTACTCTGGATGATATGTTTCCTATTCCAGTAATAAAGTTACCTCCAAATCCAGCAAAGGAAAACTTAAACCCTCTTTGTCTATAGTACCTTAGAGTTTATAATAATATTTACCTACCATTTCTAGATGCCACTGTCTTTCCACCCTTCCTCTCTGGGTGAGCATATATATTTTTATATATAACTGTAGCACAGGTATTTAAAGTAGTGGGGATTGGGTATATAGGGGCAATTCCTATTCTCCTTTTGTGGTTGCAAGCAGGCATTTTTGAAAAATCTAATGAGAAATTCATTTCTGACCTCGTAAGCTTTTTCTCATAAACCCATGATAAACTCGGTGGCCTGTACATCTACAGGTACATTACCACCACCTTTTTTTTGTTTATATTTATTTAATTTCAGCATATTATGGGGGTACAAATGTTTAGGTTAGATATATTGCCTTTGGCCCAACTGAGTCAGAGCTTCAAGCATGTCCATCCCCCAGTCGATGCACACTACACCCATAAGGTGTGTATATACCCATCCCCTCATATCTGCTGATACCCGATGAATATTATTACTGTATGTGCACTTAAGTATGATCAGTTAATACCAATTTGATGGTGAGTATATGAGGTGCTTGTTTTTCCATTCTTGTGATATTGCACTTAGTAGAATGGGTTGCAGCTCTATCCAGGGTAATACAAGAAATGCTATATCACCATTGTTTTTTGTGGCTGAGTAGAACTCCATGGTTTACATATAGCATATTTCCTTAATCCACTCATGTATTAATGGGCACTTGGGTTGTTTCCACATCTTTGTAATTCTGGATTGTGCTGCTTTGAACATTTTAGTGCAGATGTCTTTTTTATACAATGTCTTATGGTAAGTTCTACTTGTATCTTTTTAATGTGTCTCCATATTACCTTCCACAGAGGTTGTACTAGTTTACAGTCCCACCAGCAGTGTATGAGTATTCCTGTCTCACCACATCCACACCAACATTTATTGTTTTGGGACTTTTTAATAAAGGCCGTTGTCACTGGATAGAAGTGATATCTCATTGTGGTTTTGATTTGCATCTCCCTGATAATTAGATATGTTGAGCATTTTTTTCATAGGTTTGCTGGCCTTTAGTCTGTCTTCTTTTGAAAAGTTTCTGTTCATGTCCTTTGCCCACTTGTTGATAGGGCTGTTTGATTTTTTTCTTGGTGATTTTTTCCTGAGTTCCATATAGATTCTAGTTATCAGCTCTTTATCGGATGTGTAACATGTGACTATTTTCTTCCATTCTGTAGGTTGTCTGTTTGCTCTCATGATAGTTTCCTTGGCTGTGAGGAAGCTTTTTAATTAGATCAGGTCCCATTTGTTTGTTTTTGTTGTTGCTGTGATTGCCTTTAGGGTCTTTTTCACAAATTCTTTGCCTAGGCCAATGTCTGTAAGAGTTTTTCCTACATTGTCTTCTAAAATTCTTATAGTTTCATGCCTTAGGTTTAAGTGTGTTATCCACCATCAGTTGATTTATGTGAAAGGTGCCGATTCTGTTTCAGTCTCCTACATGTGGCTATCCAGTTTTCCCAGCACCATTTTTTGAATAAGGATTCTTTTCACCAATGTATGTTTTTGTCTGCTTTGTCAAACATGAGATGGCTGTATGAGGATGGTTTTATATCTGGGTTCTTGTTCCATTGGTCTATGTCTCTGTTCTTGTGCCAATCCCATGCTGTTTTAGTTACTATAGCCTTATAGTATAACTTGAAGTCTGGTAAACTGATGCCCCCGAATTTGTTCTTTTTGCTTAAGATTGCTTTTGCTATATGGGTTCTTCTCTGGTTCCATGTGAAGTGTAGAATTATTTTTTCTAGATCTGTGAAAAATGATGTTGGTATTTTAGTAGGGATTGCATTGATTATGTAGATCACTTTGGGTAGAGCAGACATTTTAACAATGTTGCTTCTCCTGACCCATGAGTATGGCATGGTTTTCCACCTGTTTACATCCTCTGCTATTTCCTTCCTCAGTGTTTCATAGTTCTCCATGTAGAGGTCTTTTACCTCCTTAAATATATTCCTAGGTACTTTATTTTCTTTGTTGCTATTGTGAAGGGTATTGAGTCTTTCATTTGGTTCTCAGTATGACTACTTGATCTAAACTGCAATGTAATAGCCAAGACTTTAACACCCCTCTGACAGAACAGGACAGATCCTCCAAACAGAAAAGAAACAATGGACACAAACAGAACTCTAGAACAAATGGGCCTGACTGACATTTGCATAACATTCTATCCAAATCCACTGAATGTATGTTTTTCTCATCAGCTCATGGGACATTTTCTAAGATCGACCGTACCCTAGGCCACAAAGCGTGTCTGAAATAATTTAAAGGAATAGAACTTATACCATGCATCTTCTCAGACCACATTGGAATAAAATCAGAAATCAACTCTAACAGAAGCTCTCATCTCTACACAAAGTCATGGAAACTAAACAACCTTCTGCTGAATGACTATTGCGTTTAGGAAATCCAAATGGAAATCAAGATTCTCTGAACTAAAAGATAAAGGATAAGTTATTAAATTGTGGGACACAGCTAAAGCAGTCCTGAGAGGAAAATTTATATCCATAAATGCCTACATCCAAAAGACAGAAAGATCACAAATAAATAATCTAATGAATTATCTCAACTGGCAAAGGACAAGCAAACCAACCCCAAACCCAGCGGAAGAAAATAAATAACAAAGATCAGAGCAGAACTAAATGAAATTGATAACAAAAAAATATATACAGAAGATTAAATAAAACAGAAAGTTGGTTCTTTGAAAACAAAATTGACATGCCTCTTTCTAGATTAAGGAGAAGCAGAAAAGAAAGGGCTCTAATAAGCTCCATCAGGAATGAAAAAGGAAAAATTAAAACTGATGCCACGGAAATAAAAAATATCCCTATGAATACTATAAGAACCTCTATGAACATAAACTTGAAAATGTGGAGGAAATGGACAAATTTTTAGAAACACACAGCCTCCCTAGGCTCAATCAGGAAGAAATAGAATTCCTGAACAGACCAATGTCAAGTGCTGAAATTACAGCAGCAATAAAAAACCTTCCTAAAAAGAAAAGCCCTGGACCAAATGGTTTCATACCCGAATTTTACCAGACCAACAAAGAAGAACTGGTGCATATCCTGCAGAAATTATTCCATAGCATCAAGAAGGAAGGAATCCTCCTGAACACGTTTTATGAGGCCAACATCACCCTGATACCAACACCAGGAAAAGATGCAACAACAACAAAAATAAAACTACAAACCAATGATGCAAAAACTCCCAACCAAATCCTAGCAAACCAAATTTAGGTGCTCATTGAAAAATAATCGATTACAACCAAGTAGGCTTCATCCCAGAGATGCAGGGATGGTTCCACATACAAAACCCATAAATGTAATTCACCATATAAATAGAAGCAAAAACAAAGCCTATTTGATCCTCTCAACAGACTTAGAAAAAACATTTGACAAAATTCAGCACCCTTTTATGATAAAAACACTTAAGAAAATAGGCATAGATGGGACTTATCTAAAAATGATAATAAGCCATATAAGACAAACCCACAGTCAATATCATACTGAGCAGGGAAAGATTGGAAGCATTTCTGCTTAGAACTGGAACCAGACAAGTTTGCTCTGTCACTGTTTCTATTCAGCATAGTGCTGGAAGTCCTAGCCAGAGCAGTCAGACTGGAGAAGGAAATCAAGGGCATCCAAATGGGGGCAGACGAGGTCAAACTATCTCTCTTTGCTGACAATATGACCTTATATCTGAAAAAAAACCCCAAAAAACCAAAACAACCCTGAAGATTTTGCTGGGTCATTACTGAAATTGATAAACAAATTCAGCATATAAAGTTCTAAAAACTCTTCATTGCTTTCAGGATAGATAAGATCCACATTTCTTAGCTTGATATTCAGGGTCCTTTGCATACTGTTATTCCTCATCCTTCCATCTCTGTCCCCTCTAGTGAAGTTACATTCAACCACACAATAATCCTTGAATACAACATGTACTTTTCATATTTCCATAACTTTGCTCATCCTGTTTTCTCTTCTTAAAATACTCTTCTTTTTCTTAACCACTTCAAATGAATACTTTCATGACTGCCATGTATAATTTACTACCCTAATTGAACTTTGTATATAACATTTAATAATAATCTGATAAAATGAAAATGGAAGACAGTTTTATTCATCTTTTTATCCTCAATGCCTTGCACAAATGAGATACCTAATATTATTTGAGCTGGAGAAAAATTGCTGAAATGCCATAGTTTTTCTAATGACATATCAACCCAGGACAGGTAATGAGGAAGAATGGAATCACACACATACATAGGAAATGAACTTTTTGTCCATTATGAGACAGTCAAAAATACCATTAGGCAAGAATGTAGGGGGTCTTTTCAATAAGCAATGGCTACACTGTTATTTTTTTATTTTTTTGAGACAGAGTCTCACTTTGTTGCCCAGGCTAGAGTGAGTGCCATGGCCTAGCTCACAGCAACCTCAAACTCCTGGGCTCAAGCAATCCTGCTGCCTCAGCCTCCCGAGTAGCTGGGACTACAGGCATGTGCCACCATGCCCGGCTGATTTTTTTCTATATATATGTTAGTTGGCCAATTAATTTCTTTCTATTTATAGTAGAGACGGGGTCTTGCTCTTGCTCAGGTTGGTTTCGAACTCCTGACCTTGAACAATCCGCCCGCCTTGGCCTCCCAGAGTGCTAGGATTACAGGCATGAGCCACCGTGCCCGGTCACACTGTTATTTTTTTAACTAATTAGAATAACAGCACAGTTGCAATAATTTCATATCACAATTTCTAGATATAGTAACCCCAGTGAACTTGGGCTCAAGCAGGAATTATCAGCGATTTTGAGGGATTTGTATATATTCCTACTTTATTTCAAAAATATTTTATGGATGTTTACAAAATGTTAGGTAGATATGAAGATAGATCAATAAGATAACCCTGGTCTTCTAATAGCTCATAATTTAATATGATGAACATGTAACTGCAATAATATTGTTTTATAATAAGCTATAGATTGTTTATGTATATAGCTGAATAAGAGTAATTTTTTTAATCAAGGAGGTTTGGGCAAGTCTTCCTGGAGAAGGAGGTACCTCTACCGGGGCTTGATAAAGGAACAAGAGCTAGTCAGATGGAGGAAACTATTAATAGGAAGAATGTACCACATAGTTGGATCAGACCAAGTAAATGCCTAGAGGAATGAAATAGCAAGGCAGGTTTGGAGATGAGGGTTCATTCAAGAGACAGAACAATAAGCAATTTGTTGACAGAGCAGAAAGTGCAAGGCAAAGAGTAGCAGGAGATAAAACCAGAAAGATAGGCAAAAGTTGTAACAAAAGAGCTTTGTATGCCTTGTTAAGAAGCCTAAACTTTAACCATTTGGTAATGGGGAATTTTTGAAAGATTTTTAGGCAGAATAGTAACTTAGATTTTATGAGCGGGGTGCATACTTTGTTTCTCTCAAATGAGTGTCTAGCACATGGAAGGTGTTCAATATATTTTTTAAATTAATGAATCCTTACTTTGACAATATATGAAATTAGGGAGGATTGTTTGAACTTTAGAATGGAAAAATGTTCCATGGACTCTTATGACGGAATAAGAAGTCATGGAGCTTCAGATACTGCTGCTTTGATTCATTCATTCAGTTACTATTCATTTGTTTATTTAGTCAGTCAGTCATTCACCATACACTAGAATACTCATGTGTCCAGTTTTATGTAGGAACCTGGGGAGCAAACTCGAATGAGATAACGTTTCTCCTTCTAAAGGAATTCAAGAATTTAGTTTAGGAGGGAGGCACACACATGCACAAAAATAATACACTGATCAGTGTTATAAAAGATATGTGTATAATAGATACATAAAATGTGCTGAGGGAGTAACTTTACCTAGAGGAACAGGGAAGATTGAGTAACATGAACAGGGCCTAAAGAACAATTTAGGGGTTTTTCTAGGCAGAGGGAATAGCATATACAAAGCTATGACAATACAGAAATGCATAAAGAAAAAAGTCAAAATATTAGGTTTTTAGTCAAAGATAACGTCTTTATCTCAGAGAAGCAGCAGCATAGCACACTTACAGAATCTTTAAAAGTAGAAATTACTAGCTGTTAATACTGCTAATTTTTATCTTCAGAAGAGAACATACCTTGAATCTTTCTCTAAAAAGTTTTTCTTCCCTTTCCATTCTATTCTTTTCTAAGTTTTGCTTCTTGGTTCTGAAGAAATTTCTAGAAGATGAACTGGCAAGAAATATGCAGGATTAAATGTACTGTAATAAAACTCTAAAGTTTCCAAGTCTACAGAGTCATTTCATTTCAGAATAAATTCAGGTATAATTTTTTGCATGTATAATTTTATATAGTTATGTAGTCACACATCTGTATGTGTATGTATTCACACATATGTATGTACATACATACAAACATATCTCCACTAGAGCAGATTGTCAAAACAACTGAACAGGGTAATACAAATTGCTTTTCTCCACAATTAAAAAATATTTTTGACAGTAAGATAAATTGGAATAAAATCAAATTGGTTAAACAACTTCAAGTAAACAAGAAACTTGTCTGAATTAGGCGTAGAAGATAGTTATTATTATATAACTTGTTTTTTAAAGAAAGAAACTTGAGGAAATTTGTACATCTTCCCACTCACTTTCAGATTATTTAATGGAAACCAATAATACTGTATAAGGGGCTGACATTTTGTCGTTTTCCAAGTTTTTAAACCTAATTGGGGAAATCACAAAGCTACCTGGCTCAAAGAACTGTGTTGTTTGCTGAATGATTTGGGAGGTAGATAGAGTTAAGAAAATAAAGCAAGATGCTACCAAACATATCCAAGAATTTCAGCACGTAAAAGTGAATAACCTTAAAGCAGAAGCTCATTACGTGTACTCTTACTCCTCCCTCCTGCTCTTTGTGTGAGATTTGGTTCTGTTTTAGCAGCTTAATGTATGTTGACAGAAGGAAAAACGTCAACCAACTCCTGTCAGTTTTATTTCAAAGTGTCTCCTACATCTGTTTTGTTCTTTCCAAGATTACAGCCACTGCCATGTTTCAAACCATTACCACACCACTTCTTGCCAGAAATACCATCTTCCTGTTGCCTCTTATTTTTTGAATCCATCTGCGTATCTGCCTCCAGAGTCTTTTTTCTAAAATTTAATTGATCCCATCACACTCTTGCTTAAAACCTTTCCATGTCTCTCTGCCTACAGGATAAAGTCTAAATTCATTAGCATTTAACAATCTGCCCCTAGTCCAGAGTGCCTTCCAGCTTTATCAGCCGCCCTTTTTCTTCACATATAGTGTTTACATGGGTCATCTTAGAAAGTGGGCTGTCCTTCTCATGTCTTTATAACTGGGATACTTTTCCCCAACGTCTCTTAAAACTTGTCATCATCTTTGATTAATAAAGGCATAATAAAAGGGTTGAACCAATATAAAAAGCATTTCTTACTTATTGGTAGAATAAGTTACAGTAGAAACCATTTAAAGAGGATCAAGGAGCACATAGAAATTCATATGTCAATCTACAGGAATAATGATAGTATTGTGATCACATGCTCAAATTTATTCAGTTGAGAATAGAAGTATACTACCATATAAGTTTATTGTCAAACGTAAAAAGCACTAGAAGATTGTTCCCTAAAAAGACTTTTAGTCATCAACATACTAAAAAGCTTTTTGGGAAGAGAGGTCAAAAATTTTACTGATATTTCCCCTCTTGGAATTCCATTTTGTTACGTTACATGAATGTATTAAAGGTATAAAGTTTATGGTATAAAGTTGCTTTTATAGTCTGTGAATACATTGTTTCAACTTGGGAAAAGTAAATTACATCAATTGTAAACCCAAAGAAAATAAACTTAAGGGAGGGGCCATCCTCTGAGTTTAGATTTGTTACAGACTATTGTCCGGTTTCTTTGGGGGTAATTCAGTAAGACTTTTCTAAACCGGTTTCCCAGAGAAGACAGACTACACAAATTCACACCTCAGTGACTATTTAGATGAGGATTTCTCCAAGTTGTTAAAGACAGTACCCCAGCTCCTGCCCTCTGCCCTAGCAATTGGGAAGACTGGAGCATGGAGCACTAAGTAACCATTTGAGTCAGTAAAAAACATCACCTCCCTCCACAGCCAACTAGGAACTTGAATCTCATAAGTGTAGGTTAGCTCTTGGGTCAATAAAACATTCTTTTTAAAAATCCTAATATTAACTGTAGTCATAACTAGGATGATATTGTATTTTAGGGAAGTTAGTCTTAGTATATGATATCTAGTATCTGTTTTCTCAGAGCTACCTTTAAGTTCTAATGGTGTTTTATTTAAGTTCTATCATATAGGGGGGAAGTTTTCATAGCCTAAAGAAGACTGGAAGTTTTTCATTGTTTTGTTTTTCATTGTTTATAAGGGCTGAGTTGAAATCTTCCCTCACTTCTCATCCACCAAAAGTAGGGAGGATGATGATGAATATACATGTGTATGTTACTTAATATTTTTATATTCTTTGTCTCTTAATCCTTTGAACTGTATTATGATGTAGGTATTGTTATTCTCATTTTGTAGATGAGAAACCTGAGAATCCAATTTAATGACTTGTCTAAGATTTCAAAGCTAGTAAGAGGTATAAATCACAGCAGATAAACCATAATGTAAGTGCACCTGTATTCCTACCTTCCTGATTCTTCAACATCTTTTTTTCTTTCTCTTTTTCCCTTTGGTATCAAAAACTTGGGCTTCCAAGTTTTCAGCTTATCTTCATCTCTGAGGAGAAAAATATTTTGAACAACTAAATTAAAACTGAATTATTAAGCACTTACAGAATGATCAACACTTTATGGTTATCAACACTTTGTTTTACAAAAAAATTAAAAAGTCATCTAGAAATATATTCCGATCATCTATGGCAAGGCCATATAGTAAATATTTTTGGCTTTGCAGGCTATATCATCTCCATGGTTACTATACAACTCTACTACTGTTACAACTTCTTTTACAGAAACAAGTGGCAGGCCATATTTGGCCCACAGGCTGCACTTTTCTGAGCCCTGATCTGTGGTGATCCACATTTGAAACCAGAAGCAAGCAATCAACCTGTTTATAATCACACTTAATCTTCTTTCTGAGCCTCAGTTTCTTTGCCTCTAAAATGTGAATGATTATACTAAATTTCACTGTGAGATAAGACTGTTGGCTTAGTGGGTCCAGGCAGAAGAGAATGCAGGGACAGGGGAGGGTATTTATTACAAAAAGAATATTTTTTGAGCACTTGTGTGTTAGGGCTTATGCTAGGCACTTTACATATGTAATTCATTTGGTTTTCACCAGTAGTATTGTAACATTCCTTTAAAGTAGTCAGTCATAAAGTTTTACAAAGCAGTAAATGGATGATCGCAGAGAAGAAAATGAATGTTCAGAGTAATATGCCCACTTTGGAGAACAAGTTGGCATTTTCTTATGAATTTGCATTCCCTATATAATTTGTATTTTTCTCCCCTTCTATCTGCCATAAAAAAATCTTTCACATTTTCACAGGAGACATGAATAAGGATATCTGTGGCAGTATTTTCGTAAGTACAAAGAATTAGGAACTACCCCGATACTAACAAGAAAATGGATAAATGAATTGTGGTATATACATACAATGGAATATTATTGAAGAGTAAAAATGAATGAATTACAATGGCAAAAAAGGACAAATTTTAAGTGTAAAAAAGAAATTTCAGCATTCTATATATAGGAGACCATTTTTATAATGCTCAAATCCCAAATGAAATAATATTTTTACCTTCTGTATCTGATAACACTTTTTGTTTTAAACAAGGAAATGAAAAATACAAAATTTAAGAAAGTGGTTACACTGGGGGAAGACTAGGGGATGTGCACAAGAGAAAGAGGCCAAGGAATTTGGTTATGTTCTAGTTCTTAAGTTGAGTGATGGGCACAAGGTAATTTGTTTAACCATGCTTTATAACTTACATATGTTTCATGTTTTCTTTTGATTTTTATAATTTACTAAGAAAAAGAATTCAATAGGCCATAGTGGCATAGGGCTATAGTACCAGCTACTAAGGAGGCTGAGGCAGGAGGATCACTTCAGGCCAGGAGTTTGAGGCTACATTGTGCTATGATCACACTATGAATAGCCACTGTACTCCAACCTGGGCAACATAGTGAGACTTCATCTTAAAACAAAACAAAACCCAAAATTAAAAAGACAAAACAAAGAAGAAGAATTTATTCCTTAATCTAATTTTATATCCCTCCTCTATCTCATGCCAGATTACATTTTCTGCTTATAATAACCTCTTTACTGGTCATATGCCTTATGGTCCAAAAAAACTTCCCAAACACATGTGTTCCATTTACACAGTTGTCCTCCCTCTCCCTCCCTCTCCCCTTTCTCTCCTCTTTCTCCCATTTCTGTTTGTCAAAATGTTACCTATCCTTTCTGTTTTACCTTGGCACAGAGATTTTTTAATCCCCTACATGACAGCAAGTGGCTACCTATTTTGAGCTTCTACATTATTTTGCACATTTTTATAGCAAGTCCTTCATTGTTAACGAATTTAACAAACCATATTTTGGTCTTAGGCCACATGATACAGATCTGAAAGCCACAGTCCTTCACCTCTGGGAGTTCTCATCCCAGTGTAGATATACGAGAAAGTCAAGAAAACAGATCAGACCCGCCCTGCCTGTTGCCACTAGCAGACACACAAGTGCACATACACACACCACCAAGATTTCTGACAACAGGGCCAGCCCACCTGCTGCCTGGCACACAAACACACTATCTGGGGACCTGAGGATTGACCTGCCTGCCCACCATAGCCTATCCCACCTAGTACACCTCTGCCAGTGCCCACATATATTCGGGACATCAACCTACTCTTCCTACCACTGCTAGTATCCATGCTTTTCTCCTGGGGGCCTGAGGATGGGACAGGTCTGCCCAGTCTGATGGTACCTGCACATGTCACTGGGGGCCTATGGATTAACCCATTCTGCCTAACTTCACTGGTGTGTTTGCACAGTCCTCCCAGCAGCTTGAGAATGGGGCTGTCCAATGGGGCTGTCCAGTCTGTCACCACCACCACTGCAGGCACCTACCTGAATATACCATGTGAGGGTCTGGGGACAGCCTGCCTGGCTCACCACCACCACCATTGGCACCTGTTTGTACCACCTGAAGGCCCAAAGGTTGGCCTACCACTACTATGCTGTTGCTGATACTGTGCATACTGCTCAGGAGCCTCAGGACCTGCCCACCCTCCTGGCTCACTGCTGCCATTGCTGATATCCAAGCAAACCACCTAAAGGCCCAAAGATCGGCTCACCTGGGGGGGGGGGGCAAAGGACAGGCATTATTAGCCCACTGCCACCATCACTAAGGACTGACATGCCTGGTGTTCTTGTCCCCAGCAAAACTTTACCACAACCTCTACTAAAAACCACAGCCTAAGCCACTGATAAACTCATAGATGCTACTGATGCTGATTATAGCAAAAGAAATCATACAGAGACTATACTGCTGCCTACACCAAGAATCAAAGCTAAAGTGTCTTGCCCAATCAACACTATAGATGCATTTATAGGCCAAACTTTCTATGAAATTCAGTCCAAATAATTGGAAGAAGCAACTGTTTTACCAGATGCACAGATATCAATGTAAAGACACAAACATGAAAAGCAAAGAAACATGACACCTCCAAAGGAACACAATCATTCTCCAGCAACAGATTCCAGTGGAAAAAGAATCTATTAATATGAAACATTAATACAAAATACCTGAAAATGAATTCAAAGTAATGATATTAAAGATCAGTGAGATACAAGAGAACACATGTAAACAATACAAATAAATCAGGAAACAATTTATTATCTGAATGAGAAATTCAACAGAGATATCAGAAAAAAGAACCAAAAAGAAATCCTAGAAGTAAAGAATTCAGTGAATGAAAAAAATGAATACAATTGTGAGCTTCAACAGACTAGACCAAGCAGAATTTCTGAACTTGAAGATAGGTCTTTTGAAATAACCTAATCAGACAAAAACAACAACAAAAAAATAGTAAAAAAGAACAAGGAGAGCCTACATGACATATGGGACACCACAAAGTGGCCAAATAGTTTAATTTGATGTTCCAGAAGGAAAAGAGATGGGCAAAGGCATATAACAGCTATTTAATGAAATAATAACTGAAAAATTCCCAAGTCTTGCAAGAGATGTAGATATCCAGATATGGGAAGTTCAAATATCCCCAAATAGCTTCAACCCAAAAAGGATTTCCCAAAGGCACACCACTGTCAACTTGTCAAAAACTCAGAGACAAAGAGAATTTTAAAAACAGCAAGAGAAAAGCAGACTAACAGCACATTTCTCAGCAGAAACCTCACAGGCCAGGAGATAATAGATGATATATTCAAAGTGCTGAAAAGGGATAAAATAACTTTCAGCCAAGAATGTTATACCCAGAAAAGCTATCCTTCAAAAATAGAGAAGAAATAAAGTCCTTCCCAGATAGGCAAAAGCTGAGGGAATTCATTACCAATATACAAGTCTGTCTACCACCATGAAAACACATGAAAGTTTAAAACTCACTGATAGAGCAGACACACAAATGAGAGAGAGAAAGGACTCAAATGTTACCACTACAGAAATCACCAGATCACAATGATAAACAGTTACAGAGAAAGAACAGAACAATAGATATACAAGAAAACAATTTTGAAAAATGGCAGGAATAAGTCCTCTTCTAACAATAATAATCTTGAACGTACATGGATTAAAATTCCCCACTTAAAAGATACCAACTGGCAGAATGGATAAGAAAACAGGACTCAATTATATGCTTTTTACAAGAAATTCACCTCACCTATAAAGACATATAGGCTGAACATGAAGAGATGGAAAAAGATATTTCATGCAAATGGAAACAAAAAGCAAGCAGGAGTAGCTATACTTAGATAAAACACACTTTATTTCAAAAACAATAAAAAGGGACAATGATGGTCATTATATAAAGGAATCAATTCATCATGAGTATTTAATAATTCTAAACATAGAGGCACTCAACACTGGAGCACCCAAATATATAAAGCAAATATTATTGGATCTAATAGGGAGAGACAGACTCCAATAATAGTTGGGGACTTCAACACCCACTCTCACCATTGGACAGACTATCCAGGCAGAAAATCAGCGAGTAAACATTGGATTTAAATTGCACTTTAGATCAAATGGCCTAATAGACATTTATAGAATATTTTATTCAAAAGCTCCAGGGTATACATTTTTCTCATCACACATGGAACATTCTCTAGGATAGACCATGTTAGGCTATAAAACAATTCTGAACAAATTTTGGAAAATCAAATCATATCTCAAATATCTTCTGAAACCACAATAGAACTAGAAATCACTTCAATAAGAGAAACTTTGGAAACTGTATAAATACATGGAAATTAAACATGTTCCTGAATGACCATTGAGTCAATGAAGAAATTAAGAAGGAAACCAAAAATTTCTTGAAGCAAATTAAAATTGAAACACAACATAATAAAACCTTTGGGATATAGCAAAAGCAGTACTAAGAGGAAAGTTTGTAGCAGTAAATGCCTACATCAAAAAAGTAGAAATATTTCAAATAACCTAATGATGCACCTCAAGGAACTGGAAAAGCAAGTACCAAACCAAAAATTAGTAGATGGAAAGAAATGATAAAGATCAGAGCAGAACTAATCAAATAGAGACTGAAAAAGAAAAAATCAAAAAAATGAAAAAAATTTTTAAAAAATTGATAAACTACCAGCCAGAATAACGAAGAAAAAAAGAGAGAAGATCCAAATAAAATTACAAATGTAAAAGGAGAAATTACAACTCATACCATAGAAATACAAAGGATCATCAGAGACTACTATAAACAACTATATGCTAACAAATTAGAAAACCTGGAGGAAATGGATACATTTCTGGACACATGCAACCTACCAAAATCGAACCAGAAAGAAATGGAAAACTTGAACTGATGAATAATGAGTAATTGAATATAAAGTAATATTAAGTCTTCCAACAAAGAAAAGCTCAGGACCACGTGGCTTGATTACTGAATTTTACTAAACTTATAAAGAAGAATTTTTCTCACCAATTCTTCTCAAACTATTCCAAAAGACTAAAAGGAGGGAATTCTTCCTAACTCATTCTATGAGGCCAGAATTATCCCGATACAAAAACCAGACAAGGATACAACAACAAACTACATGCCAATAACCCTGATGAACATAGATGCAAAAATCATCAACAAAATACTAGCACACTGAATCTAACAACACATCAAAAATACAATACGCCATGACCAAATGGATTTATCCCAGGGATGCAAGCACGTTTCAACATGTACAAATCAATAAATGTGATACATCACATGAACAGGATGAAGGACAAAAACCATATGATCGTCACAGTAAAAGCAGAAAAAGCATTTGATAAAATTCCACATCCCTTTATGATAAAAACTCTCAACAAATTAGGCATAGAAGGAATATCCCTCAACATGATTAAGGCCATTCATGACAAACCCATAGCTAACATCATGGTGGGCAAAGCTAAAAGCCTTTCCTCTAAGAACTAGAACAAGAAAAGGATGCCCACTTTCATCACTCCTATTCAACATAATGCTGTAAGGCTTGTCAAGTACAATCAGGCAAGAGAAAGAAAAGGCATCCAAATTGTAAAATAAGTCCAGGTGTTCCTCTTTGCAGATGACATAATCTTGTATTAAGAAAAACTTAAAGACTCATCAAAAAACTGTTAGAACTGATAAATTCCGTAAAGCTACAGGATATGAAATCAACATATATAAATCAGTAGCATTTCTATACATCAATAATGAACTAGCTGAAAAAAAATAAAGAAAGCAATTCCATTTACAAGAGATACAAAAGAGTACATAGGAATAAATTTAACCAAAGAGATGAAAGACCTCTACAAGGGATATCACAAAACATTGGTGAAATAAGTTGAAAGGATCACAAATGGAAAGACATCCTATGTGCATGAATCAGAATATTGTTAAAATGATACTACTCAAAGCAATCTACAGACTCAATGAAATCCCTATCAAAATACCAATGACCTTCTTCACAGAAATAGAAAAAAGAATCCTAAAATTTGTATGGCAGTTCCCAGAGGTTGGGCAGAATGTATGTGTAGGGATGATGAAGAGAGGTTGGTTGATAGATATGAACACTGAAGTAGAAGAAATAAGTTCCAGTGTTCCATAGCACAGTGGGGCGACTATAGTTAACGACAATATATATTTCAAGATAACTAGAAGATTTGAAATGTTCCCCATACAAAGAAATGATAAATGTCTGAGATGATGGATATCCTACAAACCCTGATTTGATCATTACACATTGTATGCATGTTTCAAAATATCACATGTACCCCATAAACATACACAAATATTATATATTACTAAAAAATAAAAAATAGGATACCCCCAAATAAAATAAAACCATCATATTTTTTTTCAGAAAAAAATAAAATAGACCATTACAACTATGAGAAAAAAGTTATGATAAAATGTGAATTTTGATAGCATCACCACAATGATGAAGTCCTGGGTGTGGGTGGGAATGATTAAGAAGAGCATTGAAGGAAGAACAGAAGAGATTTTCTATATCAGTATAGATATAGAAAATATATAGAAGATCCGAGGAACACAGCATTTAAGATGGGCGAAGACCTAGAAGTCACTGTCTTACACATGCAAAACCATTTAGGAGGAGTAGGCAAAGATGAGGAATAAGTAATGGAAACCTAGGAAAAGGTTAGTAATTTTTTCCTTTGGAGGATGGCATAGTCAACAGTTTAGCAGGGGTCCTCAAACTTTTTAAATAGTAGGCCAGTTCACTGTCCCTCAGACCATTGGAGGGCCAGACTATAGTTAAAAAAAAACTATGAACAAATTCCTGTGCACACTGCACATATCTTATTTTGAAGTAAAAATCAAACGGGCAAAAACACCCGCATGTGGCCCGTGGGCCGTAGTTTGAGGACACCTGGTTTAAGGTATAGAGAAGCCTAATAAGGTAAACAATTAAAAAGTATTCACTGGATTTAGTAAAGGAGTTATTAATGATCACTTGTTATTCATTGTTTTCCCTTCTTAGTGGGGGGGAATATCTCAAGTTGACCTTTCATCCAGTATATAAACAAGGATCTGAAGAAATGGCTCTCTCACCGTATTTAATAAAGCATCACAAAATGGGTCACATAACATCTGGGATGACCATGATATATAAATTGACTTACTTTGACTCTTTTTCACTTAGGTCCACATCATCATAGATAGTAACTCCTTGAGGCCCAGGTTCTAGGGTGAAGATAGGATCAAAATAGTTCATTATTAGGTATGGTTTACATACTCTCTAACTTTCCAAATTATATACAATTACATATGTAATTATCCAGGTTACATCATAAAGCCTGTTTTTATCAAAATCTGATCAAAGAACAAAAAAATGCTCCATTTGGGAAGATATTCAACTGGGGGTTAAAAATTAGTGAGATGTCCTAGTATCTCAAACACATACATACGTGTGTGTGTTTGTAACAATTTGATTTCATGCCAAGTTTCAGAAAAATATGAGTTGCTGAAAGGTTCCCATCTTTCTGGAACTTGACAAAAATGTTATACTTCTAGAATAGTGAGAAGGCTTTTCTTAATTCCCAGAGGGAAAAACAGTTTAATAGAATTTTATTTTTTATTTATTTATTTTGGTGCATATTTTTAGACTTGTGGATAGAATTTTAATGTTGATTTTTCTAACATGATTTTTATTTCAAATCATTGGCAACAGCTCCTTTATAATAATCTTGCATAGCATTGAATCTTACTGCATAACCAAAATTAGAAATTTTCAGTTTAGGATATTTAAATTCCTTGGCACTCTACACAGATTTTCAGATGATTCACCATTTGAACAAGTGTGAAACATTCTGGCATAATTATTCATATTTCATATTCAATCATTCATAATTATTCATTGCTTTAGTCATTTTCTTTAATACCTTTAAATTTGGGTGAGGGTAAATGGATGTCTATTCTAAGTTGGCTTTAAAAAAAAAACACAGACCAAGGGTACATTGGGAGACTTGTGATTTTACCAGGTATATATAATCTTCATTTGTTATTTATCTCAGCAAACTCAAATTTGTGGAATATAATCATCCATCCATTCATTCATTCATTCATTCAGAGACAGAGTCTCACTTTGTTGCCCAGATTAGAGTGAGTGCTGTGGCATCAGCCTGGCTCACAGCAACCTCAGACTCCTGGGCTCAAGCAATCCTACTGCCTCAGCCTCACGAGTAGTTGGGACTACAGGCATGCGCCACCATGCCCGGCTAATTTTTTCTATATATATATTAGTTGGTCAATCAATTTCTTTCTATTTATAGTAGAGACAGGGTCTTGCTCTTGCTCAGGCTGGTTTCGAACTCCTGACCTTGAGCAATCAGCCCACGTTGGCCTCCCAGAGTGCTAGGATTACAGGCGTGAGCTACCACACCCGGCCTGATTTGTGGAATATAATATAAATTTGAATGGTCAAGTCAGAGTGATATCAAAGTAGCCACATGGCTACAGCACATTAAAAAAACAGAAAAAAAAAAATCACATGGCCCTCTTTCACTGACAAATTCAATGTACTGAACATGTATTGAGAGCTCACTATGTATTAGGTACTCTGCTAATGTATACACTATTACTTCAATGGAAAAATAAACAATATTTCAGTGACCCATTCTTTTTTTTTTTTTAGCATATTCAGTGACCCATTCTTGATTCAGTTAGTGTACAGCCTGCAGCATGATCCTGTTCAACTTACTATATCTTAGTTAGGCTGTCAAATCCTTCAAGAGGCTGTGTAGTATGACGTGAAATGTGTGAGTTTCATAATAGAGAGACTTGATTACAAATCCTAGGTGACTCAAGTATGGATGTGGGTCCTAGAGCCTCCCTACAAAGGAATAACATTTATTTCTCTGGGATTTTAAGAAGAAAGCATCTACTCTAGGGTATGGTATTATAGTAGGTACTTAAGAAATATTATTCATCTTCCCTAAAGAAATATTGTGTGTAAAATATCTTCTTTGATTTTGATAGATCAATTTTTCATTAAATGTGGGAATGCAGGAAAGAGTACCACTTCTCTTTCCCTGCCCCTGAATATTCCAATGCTGAGTATTTTTTGGTCAGCAATAAACAAGTGTCACTTACCTAAATCAGGCAGTGAGATGGAAGATGCACTGTTGATTGACAAAAAACACGAAAGGGTTAAGAAAAAAAGCCATGTTTAGAAGAAATCGCTGATACATCTTAAACAACATACTGATGACTCCAGATTCCCCTTCTTACCCCGAGAGTCTCTGACTCCAAGAAAAAGGGGTTCTCATTGGTGTTAATAGATGTCACAAAGGTATAGGGAATGTTATGGGAACACAGAGGAGAGACAGGTAATCAAGGTTTGGGTGGAGAGTTTCAGGAAAGATATCCCAGAAGGGGTAATATTTGACCAAATTTTGATGGAAAACTAGACTTTTGATAATCAAAGAAGGTTGGGGGAAGGCAGATGCATTCCAGACCAATGAAATGTCAAGTTCAAAGCAAGAAGGCACAAGACACTATGGCAGAGTCTGAGATCTGCAGGGAGGTGTAAGGGGTGGGGTGAGAGATGGAACTGGAGAAGTAGAGTGGGGCAGTTATGAAGTATTTACTTGCTATGGAAGAGGATTCAATATTTGTTCTAAAAGTTATATGGGGATACTGGGTAGTTTTAGGAAGAGGAAATCAGATTTGCATTCTTATCTGGATCAAATATTTAAAGCACTGTAGATTATCATGCCAGTAATTTGCTCTCAGAAAACATCTAACTTGCTAAGATCAGAGTTTGCCTTTTTGCATAGGGTGTCACTGACCACAAGAAGTAAACTCTTCTTTCATAGTTAAGACTACAATTTATAAATTCCATATTCTGTTGGGATCTCTCAGTAGATCAAGATCTAACAGACAATTAGACTTAAAATCACAAAACTTTGAAGCTTTATAATTGAAAAGAACTTTAGGGTAGAATAACAATTCCATCTCAATATTGGTAATGACCTTGGGCCAATTATTTTGCCACCCCTTGTCCTCACAAAATAAAGATCGATATCTAAATATCTGTATATCTATACAGATGCTCCCTGACTTACGATGGTTCCACTTAGGATTTTTCCAGTACACGATGGTGCAAAAGTGATATGCGTTCAGTACAACCATTCTGTTTTAACTTTTAGTATAGTGTTAAATAAACTTCATGAGATATTCAATACTTTATTATAATTTTGCCCAAGCATAGGCTAATGTTAGTGTTCTGAATGTGTTTAAGGTAGGCTAGGCTAAATGACAATGTTCGGTAGGTTAAGTGTATTAAATGTATTTTTGACTTAAGATATTTTCAACCTATGGTGGGTTTATCAGGACATAACCCCATCATAAGTCAAGGAGGACCTGTATATCTATATCTGTCAGAGGAGTATCTCCAGAGACTCCCCAGTGCCCCTTCCATTGGATGCAGGAGAAAACTGAGACCCTGTGGATATAAAAAGGAAGTGATCTACCCACAGCTGCACACTGAATAAATGGCAGAACTGCAAATAGAACATAGAATTCAACCCCCTGCACCCCAATCTCCTAATGCTGGTGAATTTGGAACCTCCCCCAAAGACTGACAATTAGCCTAAGTTATCTCAGAGGGTGTTTTCCAGGTCTAAGATTTTGGCACACATGAACGATTCAGCTGAACAGTTCATCTCCCCTCTCCACACGCTGCAGCCCTCAAGGGAGACAAATCAAATATGGAGATGTGGGCAAATAAGAGTCGCTAGAACTTGTAGGGCCAAAAGAGCACAAAGAACATAATTAATAACAAAATGCTTAGTGATAACAACAGGAATAAATGCCAAGGATGATGAGGAATCCCTCCTGGAAAAAGAGATTAAAAGGGACTTTTTACCTTACATTTTCTTTTGACTTGGTTTTCTTCGTTTTAAATCTATTCCTTTCTTTCTTGAAGAATTTCTGCAGTCTTTTCAGTGCTTCTTTTCCATCTAAACTAAGAGGAATCAGAGGATATAAATAACATGGGATTTGAAAGAGTACTAGAGATGGAAGGTTGTATTAAAAAGGACCAGAGGCTTTGGTCTCATTTCCAAAACACATCATACCCAAGGATGTGCAAGAAAATGCCTTATCAATTTCTATGCTTTACTTCTTTAGTTCAATATGAAGTAGCACACACCAGTCAACTATGAAGGCAGTAATTATCTTTCAGTACAACTTTCAATACCCCAAATAGTCTCTATTTTGAAGAATTTATGAAGCAAAGTATTCCTTTTGGAGGAAAAGATAACTCAGTGTATGAACTGTCCTAGAAACGTATTATAGGAATTCCTGGCTCCTGAAATTCACATCACTGATTTTATTTACTGAGTAATACAACAGTAGTGATACATTGGTTGCCCAATTGATGACTAAAATTCTTACAAATATCATTTTGGGTTTTTTTTTTGCAGGGGGGGATGGCGAGGGAGTGATATACCCATGTCATCCTACCCAGGATACCCAGCTTAGGATCCCCTCTTTCCCTTTCAACTCTTAAACTTACTGTTTTTAACCACTGCTCTTGCTATTTTCCCTTCCATAATGTGTCCTAATAACTTTGATGAATAATGTCCATTTGAACAAATACTATTCTTAATAAAACTTAATTACTAGATATTAAACTTAAATCCTGGAGACAACCTTACTAAAACTTGCAAAGACACAGGTAAGTCATAATCATTGATTTGTTCCTGAAAGAAACAAAACTATAGAACTGAAACAAGTTTTATTGATATTTACTTCTCCTTTCTCATTTATTTCCTAGACAATATCAAAATCCTCTACTCTGGGAAATGGAGTTTTCTCAAAGGAGAAAGCAATGTGATTTAAAATTTATAGTATATGATTGTACACAATTACAAGTATACTACTGATCATAATGTAGTATTACAGTAGCTTATCACAAGTATGTGAATCCTTCCTAAAGGATGGTGATGGGGTAGAGGAGTCATTTCTTAAATTCTGGTTTTATTAAACAAACAGTAAATACCATTAGCCTACAAAACCAAGAAAGCAAGAAACTCACTCTATCTTTGAGTAGTTACTCCTTGTTTTGTAGACATCATCGTACATTTCTTCACTATTTCTCTCTGAAATTTAAAAAAAACTTTCATTCACTATAATGGCAATAGTTCAGACTCATATTTAACAAAAATTATCAGATACCTACTAGATGCTAGTTACTTTGATCATTCTTATAAGTAATTTTTATTGAAACTTATGCATGTGTTTAAAAGCATATGTTTTTTTTTAAAAAAAACCTATATAAAGTATGTAAAAATGAAAATTAAGACTCATTTCCACCCGATTCCAACTATGACCTGATTTAGCCAATGGAAGTTGGTTTATCAGTAGGTTCTTTCCTTCCACTCTCCCTCCTTTCTGTATTTAGTACAAAACAATGGAAAACCAGACATATTTTGAATAATCTCTCCCTTCATAGAATGGCTTTATCCTAGTCCAAAACTTCATATACACAGTTATTATACTTTGAGTCAATCTTGACAACAGAGTTTAATGGAAAGAACATTAGATTAAAAGTCAGAATTTTCATGTTCAAAACTTGACACAGTGAGCTTAGAGATGCCCCAGTTTCCTTTTTAAAATGAAGGTACTGAGTTTAATTATCTCTAAGGTTGTTTTACCATCTAAAATTCTGGGATTCTAAGGACAAAACAAAACAGTAAATTTGATTATCCCTCCTCTATTACTTTTTCTAAAATTTGTTTATCTTTCAATTAACAAATATTGTATGTATTTATGGTATTTAATATGATGTTTTAATAATTGTAAACAGTGTGGGATGACTACGCTAATTAACGTATCCATTATTTAACTAAACATGTTATTAACATAACATGGTTATTTTTTATGGTGAGAACCTTTAAAATCTATTCTCTTAGCAATTTTTAAGTATATAACACATTGTTATTAACTGTAATCGCAGTGTTGCACAACAGATCTCCTGCTCCTATTCCTTCTAATTAATATTTGTGTCCTTGGATCAACATGTTTTTCATTTACTCATTCCTTCATTCAACACATATTTTTTGAATTTTAACCCATACCTGGAATTATGCTTGGGGCCGGGGAAAATGGTATGCATAAAGAAGGTAATAATCTATTAATAGGAAGGGATACAGTTAATCAAAGAATCACATAAATATAAATTACACCTGTGACAAGTCCTATGAAAAAGAGGTCCATGGTACTATGAGATTGTACACCAAGGAAATATCCCCTCAGGGAATAATGATTGAGCTGATATCAGAAGATTAAGAGCCAGTTAAAAGTAAAGGGTCTCAGGAGAGGAAAGACCTTTCCAGGAAGAGGGAAAGGAGTAGCACATGAAACACCTGCAGTGGGAGCTTGGCACATATTAAAAGCTAAAAGAGATCAGCACAAGTGGATCTCAAAGATGAAACTGACTATAGTATGAGCTGAGGCTGCACAGGCAAGTAAGGGCAGACCAGTAAAGGCCCGTAGGCCACGTTGAAGTCAATCCTAAAGTACTGTGAAGACATGAAAGTGTTTTAAATAAAAACATTCCTGTAATCAGATTTGGATCATGAAAAGATCAGGAGAAAAGCAAATTCCAATGAAGTTGCTTTTTACTATAAGAATACATTTAACCGGCATCCTCACCTTCCTGATTCTAAATGCATTTACTAGAACATAATAACTTGGACCACTTCTCATAGCTTACTATCACCCTAGCGAGTTGGTATTATTAAAAACATGTATAAATAAGACACCTTATCACTAATCAGCCATAGAAGCACTCTTCAATTCCTACTGGCAGTTTTAGAAACGTCTTCCTATACTTACCACTGTCTGAGGCAAATGAGTTAGAGAAGTCTGACTTTGGTCTGTGGGGACAAAAGATACAAAGAGCATTTTTGTACCTTTAAGGTCTCATCACATTCATCGTGCTGAATGGCTGGAATGTACTTACGTTTCTCTCCTAGGGTATTCAACATCATCATATGTCTCCTCTGAGATGGTACTTGACTTGAAGGCTTCTGGGTCTGGGGTTTCTTTAGTTGCCTGTAAAGCCTCCACATATCCATCTGCAAGGAAAACAGAAATCCCCGGAAGGACATCTCATCAGCTGCTATCACACACACTCACTCACACACACACACACACACACACACACACACACACACACACACACACCATTCAATGGAGACAAAAATAGGAAAAGGCAGATTAAATGTGCTAAAACTGGATTATAGTCTTGGTAGGTCTGATCCTTAGAAAGGCCACTTCATCTTGCAGAGCCTAAGGTGTGATTCTGTAAAGTTGGAGGCAATGATAACAACGCTGACTCTTATGTGATAGTGGCAAGAATTAAATATATATTTATGAAGGGTGCTAGTTACCTAGTAAACTAGTAACTCTCCCTCTTCTTTGATGGTTCTTCCTTTAATCCCTGACCTCGAATGTTGAAGTCCTCCAGGGTATATCCCTGGGGCTTCTCTCTCTACATCTAGATGACCTTATCCAGTCTTGTGGCATTTTTTTCTTAAAGCAAAATATCTTAGACAAGTTGACTGAGCACGTGTCCACATAAATGATGGAACTAACCAAAGTATAGTGTGCCAGATTGAAAAATGTATAGGGACTGTTTGTGTAAGTAGCTAAATGCTCGTGTACTTCATAGAGCCATAAATTTATCATAACCATAAAATTGCTACTTCTTCATCAGTTGGCCATGGTTAACATTTAGGGTATGGCTAATTCATAACCATTTTCAGACATGAACTATTAATCAGAAATAAGAAGTAATATGCTTGAGAAATAAATAAGCAAATCAATTTGTATGTATTTTTATAATTAAATGAACCAAGCAACAAGTTTAATTTTCTGACAAAAAACAATTAGCATGTAGGCACCAAACCGTCTCAGTGAATATCAGCTCCCAGTAAAAAAGAAATAAGATCAGTAAATCTCTCTACCACAAAACAAAGATATTGAACACACAGTTGCTTAATTCTGAGTTTAAGACTTTTTTTTTCTTTCTCAATCCTTCCTTTTGGCTGAGGCAAATGCAAAACTTTATGGCTTCCTTTAAAAAACATAGACAACTCTCAAATTTACATCTCCAATTTAGGCATCTCTCAAAAATTTTAGATACCCCATCAGCCTTCACACCATTTCCATTTGGTTGTCTAAACATATTATGTTCCAAACCAAACTCATAATTTCTCTCTGCAAGTTTGCTCTTCCTGAAGTCTATTCAAACTCAGTAAAAGGGGCAATTCTATCCTTCCTGTTGCTCAGGCTCAAAACCTTGGAGACATCCTTGATTTGTTTCTTTCTCATATCTCTCCTCCTCCGATCCACAGCCATCTGTCGGCTCTACTTTCAGACTATATTCTGAATCCAAACACATCTTAACAACTCTATCATGGTACCCTCCTCCAAGCTACCATCATCTCTCACCTAAATTATTGCAATAACCTCTTAACAGGTCTCCCTGATTTATTCTACATTCTATTTTCAAGAGAGCAGCCAGATGAGTCTTTAAAATGCAAGTCAGATCATGCCTTTCTTGAGCTCAAAAGCTTTTAATGGTTTTTGAAAACTCATTTGGAGTAAATGCCAAAGTTCTTGCAATGGTCTACAAGAGCCCCTTGTTGTCTCTCTGACTTCATCTCCTACTACACTCTTTCATTCACTCTGCTGTAGCCACACTGGCCTCCTTGCTGTTCTATCAACACAAGGCAGGCTCCTGCATCAGGGCATTTGCACTTCTTTTTCCCTCTTCCTAGATTCATATCCCAGATATATATATATGGCTTTCTTTCTATTTAAGGTCTTTGAGGTCATTCATGAGCACTTTAGAATGACAACTTCCACCACCTCCTTTTGCCTCCTTCTCTTTCTTTGCTGTATTTTTTTCTCGTAATATTTACAACCATTCCATGTAGTGGATATTTTATTGTTTATATATTTATTATCTGTCTCCCCTATTCAGAAAGTAACCTCCATGAGGATAGGATTTTCTGTTTTGTTTTCTGCTATACCCTCAGTACCTAGAATAGTGCCAGACACATGAAAGGCATGAAAACATTTTTTGAACATTGAGTGATTTAAATGCATGCATCTTCCAACTAGTGAATTTAGTGTATTACATTTATGGTGTTTACTAATTTTAAAATTTATACCTACTATCTTATTACATATTTTTATTTTCTATTTTTCTTATCTTCATCTTTCTTCTCTTTTCTTCATTCTTTTTTTTCTTTTCTATTTGTTTGGAAAGTATATGTACCATTTCTATCTTTTAATAGTTACCCATAAGGATAACCAATATCCCAACTTCTAATACCAGGGGTACATTCTGCTTATTTTTGAACTTTATATTAATAAAATCATTCCGTATGTACGCTTTGGTGTCACCTTTCATTCAATATTATATCTGTGAGATTCATCCATGTTGTTGCTTATAGTTGTAATTTGTTCATTCCCATGACTTTAGTCCATTGTGTGATTATACTATGTCTATTCTACTTTTGATGGTCTTTGGCCAGTTTCCAGTTTGGGGCTATTATAAAAACTTTTGCTATGAACATCTTGTATATGTGTTTTGGTGAATTAAAGTATGCATTTATGTTGGGTATATATATATAGACATGGAATTGCTAGGTCACAGAATTAGCATGTGTTAGACTTTAATACTGCCAAACAGTTTTCCAAAATGATTATCCCAATTTACAGTCTCCACACAGAATGAGAGTTCTAGTGGCTCCATATCTTAACTAACACATGATATATTTAGTCTTTTTATTGTAGCCAGTTTAGTGGGCAGGTTGTGATATTGCATTGTAGGTTTCATTTGCATTTCTCTGAGGGTTAATGAAGTTGACCTTTTATAGTGTATTTGCCTTTTGGATGTTCTTTTTGGTGAAGTAACTGTTCAATATTTTCCCAATTTCACTATACTTCTTTTTTTCTGATTGGTTTCTATTTTATATTTTCTGAATACAGGATGTTGATAGAAGATTTATATATTCTAAATATGAGTCCTTTATCAAATATATATATATATAATGCAAATATCTTCTCCTACTCAGTGACTTCCTTATCACTGTTTTAATGATATCTTTTGATGAATATATCCTAGCTCTTCTAACATTTTTAAGACCAAAACAGATCAACATTGTGACTGTTCCCAATTAAAAACCTTAAAATATTTTAGTCACCTTTTCAACATATGTACTATGAATGCTCAATATTTTATAATATTTTAGTCCTTTCCCTGCAATTTTATGTAATTATTTTATTCAGCTGATACTTTTACTTAGCTTTCTTTCTTGCATCCAAAACTTTCTCTCTGGGATTATTTTCCTTCTGCCTGATGTATGTGCTTTAGAATTTCCTTCAGTGCATTTCATTTGGTCAATAAAATATCCCAGTTTTTATTTGTCTGAAAAATATCTTTTTTTTTTTTTTTCATTTTTGATTGAAAAGCAGTTTCCCTGGGCATAAAATTCTGAATAGAGATTTAAAACTTTCAGCAGAATTGTATTCTGGTTACATACTCTTCTTGAGAACTCAGCAGTCAGAACTCAGCTGTTCTTTGTAGGTGACTGGTCTTGTCTTTTGTCTGTTGTTAATGTTATTTAAGATACTCTCTTTTATGGTCTTTAGTTTCTCTAAGCTATAGCTAGGCTTCTTGTATTTTTCCTGAGAACTTTAGGGTGTCTAGATATACAAATTTATATCTCTCAATAATTTTGGAAAATTATCAGATATGTCTTTTATCTATTATTTCCTCTTTCTCATTTTTTTTCTAGTGTCCTTTTCTGGAACACTGATTTTATTGTTATTTTAAGACTTCTCATTACCAATGACCTCAATACCAAATGATCTCTGATGTCAGGGGTACCCACAGTATACTGTGGGAGACAACACATAAATTATGAATTATAATGTAAGGTATGCTGTTCTCTTTTTCATTCTTTTTTATCATTTTTCCCTGTGGAATGAATTTTTAATAATCTCTTTAGATTTATCTTTAGTTCACTAATTTCCTCTTCAACTGCAGATAATCTGATGTATAATTCAAACACTGTTTCATTGTCAATTTATCATTTCTTCTTCAAATATTTAAAAATATGTTTATTCCCTGTTCATATTCTTCTCTCATTAGAAAACATTAAATGTCTCAAGTTTTGTGTCTGATAATTCTAACATCTGTAATATAGGTTTTGTTCTGCTGTTAAAGTGCTGGTTTTCACTCACTGTGAGTTGTGTCCTTGTGTGTTAGTGATTTTTGACTGTTGGCTATTAATTTTTTAAAGAATATTTTTTGAGAATTATTTGAAACCTGGGATAAAAGTCAGGATTCAGAGGTCAGTAAAATCCCTCTAGGCAAAAGCTAGCTTTGGCCCTCACTTCAGGGCTCCTGGTTACTGCACATCCACGGATGTTTTCTTTTTATATCAGTTCTGTGATACTTTCATGAATGTTTAAAACAATGTATTCTTCACTTTACCTGCTTCAGTTAAGAGAATCATTTATACTGCCTAGTCTACCATATTCTCACAAACTGAAGTTTGATTTATTTTCTTTTTTTTTCTAATTGAACTCTTGTTTATATTTATTTATTTATTTTATTTTTCTTTTTTTTTTTGAGACAGAGTCTCGCTTTGTTGCTCAGGCTAGAGTGCGTGCCATGGCGTCAGCCTAGCTCACAGCAACCTCAAACTCCTGAGCTCAAGCAATCCTCCTGCCTCGGCCTCCCAAGTAGCTGGGACTACAGGCATGTGCCACCATGCCCAGCTAATTTTTTCTATATATATATTAGTTGGCCAACTAATTTCTTTCTATTTATAGTAGAAACAGGGTCTCACTCTTGCTCAGGCTGGTTTTGAACTTCTAACCTCGAGCAATCCGCCTGCCTAGGCCTCCCAGAGTGCTAGGATTACAGGCGTGAGCTACCATGCCTGGCCTATTCTTTCATTCAACAAATTTTGTTGGATATGTCTGGTGTGCCAGACACTGTGCCAGGTTACAGAAATAAAAATACCAAATGATCTCTGATGTCAAAGTGCCCACAGTGTACTATGGGAGACAGCACGTAAATCATGAATTGTAATGTAAGGCATACTATAATTTTGCAGAAAAAGAAAATAAATGAAGAGAACTAACAATTATTTAACCTATGAACCAGAGGCTTTTTGCATCGACAAATAGCCCTAGGAAATTAGTAGTTTTATTCCTATTTCCACAGGAAAGTAAGTAAATTTCCCAAAATTACAAGGTTAGCATTAATATATAGTGGCCCTGGATCCCAGAAATGCTTGACTCCAAATGCTAATACAGAAAGGTGGTCATTCTGTTGCTAAGTGTCATGGAAACAGAGAGGAGTGAGGAATTATGCATTCTGGAGACTAGGAAAAAGAAAGATGGATAGGAGCTTATTGAAGCCTCAGAAGTAGTGACTTTGGGGATAGATCTTGAAGGATGAATAGGACACCAGTAGGCACAGAATGGGTAAAAAAGGCATTCCAGATAGAGGAAGGAGCTCAAGCAAAATTATACACATGACACAGTCAGTAAACTGAGACTAGCACAGAGAATAAGCAGGGAAGGAGGTATGTGCCACAGATGAGGCCAGCTACATTGGGTACAGATTTAAGGGGGCCTTGAATCTATCTTATAAGCACTGAAAATTTATTCTTCCCATAATTCTGATTATAACACATGAAATGTCAGTGGCTTGCCATGGCTTATTGGGATAGAGTGGATACCTGTTCTGTCTACCCAGCAACTACTATTTTTTTTTTTTTTAAATAACAGCCATCTTGTTTCCCTTGAGGAATCCTCCAAGCCCATGAGTATGTAGTATTGGTAGAACTGACTTCCCCTACCTCCTGGGATGAGTTGATGGTATATGCTGGACCAATCAGAGCACTGTATCCCTTATCTTAAATGATTGATTCAGGGATAGGATGTGACCCAATCAAAACCAATAAGACCCATATCTGGGTCTTTTCTTAAAATAGTTGGGAAGATAAAAGTTTCTAATTTTCCTCCAGGTTCCTAAGAGAGTAAGTTGCAAGCCTGTTGTTGCTGGATGCCACCTCGCCCCCTTAAGGGTAGAATTTGCCTGAAAATGGAGCCAACCAAGAAAGGAGCAAAGCCAGGAATAGAAAAAGTGATACTGAGCCCCTGTGATACTGTTTGTGTCCCTGGATCCAACCATGTCTAGACTATGTGCTAGCTCCCTTTCTGTTTTTGTTGTTGTTCAACACTGTATGCTTTGATTACTGTTGCTTGCTATCAAAAGACCTGACTGACATGAAGGTAAAATGGCAACCTGAATAAAGTCAACAAATGATACCATATAATGTCATCAGTGTGTCAACGATGTGGCCCTACAAAGACAATGGGAGCTAATAGATATAAAAAGAAAAGAACATGCATTTGCTGAGCACCTGTCATGTGACATACTGTTGGATTTGGTCCTCATAAAAGCCCTGTGAAGTCCATATTGTGATCCCTGTTTATCAATGAAGAAATTGAGCTGTAGGAGCATGAAGTCACTTACCACATGGCTGGTAAGTCTTAGAGCCTAGAATTGAACTCACATCCTCTGCTTCTACATTCAGTGCTCTTTCTGCTATTGCACATCTGCCTCACTGGGTCCAGTTACTCAGTACATAACAGATGTTCAGTAAATATTTGTATTAAAATCTTGGCCATGCTCAGCTTTAAAACAATCTGATGAAGAAGATCAGAAAGAAATGCAGCTTACCATGGCCTTGGGAGTGCCTGGCCAGCTTCGGGCCCTCAGGGGAGACCTTTGTCCGGGTAATGTCAGTTGCAGCATCCTGTTTCCCAGCCAGCATGGTCCTTTCACCTCTGTGGACATTGGTCATCTGGATCTTCCCAGGTGTCCCCTCATAAGCATCACTCTAAATATATACAACAGGGAGAGTGCTGCAGGGCTCTGAGTTATCCAATCAGTTCTTCGCTAACTCGCGCTGCTCTTCATTCATTCATTCCTCATGGATAACAGTTATTTTCATTCATGTAATGCTGTGTTATGAGACTCTGCAGATCATGTCCCTCACTTACCTCTGAATGGCCAGCGAATGTCTGGCACAGAGGCCGTGCAAGGGAGGGAGGCAGGATATAAGGGAGCTGTGACAACAGGGCAGGCCCTTTGTGTGTTCTGTCTCAATCTTGCCTCCCCACAGGGAACATCATTAGTGCCCTTCACAAAGAGCTTAGAGAGGTTAAATAACTGCTCTTTGGTCCCACACTGAGTAATCTCCAGAGGCAGGACTTGACCCCACAGGCCTAGGCCTATACTCTTGACTGCAAAGGGGTGCTGTGTATTCCTTCTCCTTTCCTTTTTGCCTGACTTTTTGTCTTTCCACCCACCATTCTTCTGTTCCTACTCATCTCTTTCTGCACCCTCTCCCTCCGGCATTTGTCAAATACTTACTGAAGGCGAGAGGACATGCTATGCTCTGGAAGTAGAGACATGCGGTGGACAGAGCATCTCACACACAGGTCATGGAGACAACACACACAAATGATTAGTTAGGGTATAATGAGAGGAGTGTCCTTTACAGCGGTGTGACTCACTGCCATGGAAACAGAACAGGGAGGCTGGTTCTCTCGGCTGGGAGACAGGGTTGGAGAAGACTTCAAAAGGCAGGTGTTTTGAAACTGTATTTTCTAAAATGCACATAGGAGATGTGTAGAGGGGATAAAGGAGTCCCGGATAAAGCGAATCAGCATGAGCAGAGGCACGGGGGATTTGGAGAGTTGTTAATGTACGTAAAAGGGTGGCATGGAGGCTGCTGCAGAGGGAAGAGTTGAAGGAAAGGGGGGAAGAGATGGGGAAGAAAGACCGGAGAGGAGGCTGAGGAGAGAGGAGACAGCAGGGCTGAGTTGTGAAGGATCCTGAACACCAGGCAAAGAGCTCGCACCTTATTTCTTAACCACAGTGAGCCAGGCAAGGGAGAGACCTGATCAGACTTACATTTCACAATGACCTGGATAGACTGATGGAAGCGATACTGGAGACATAGAAAACTAAAACCCTTTTGGCCAACTAAGTGTCTTTTAATAGCCCAGTGAGAATTAGAGAAGGGCCACTATCCTTCTGACTACAGCAGAGTAGACGTGAGGACTGACTATGACAATCCCAATGTACTTAATAGATGCAAGGCATGGATTATCCTGACTTTTTGGTGGGATCTTGGGCAAACTGCAAGCAGAACAAGAGAAGGGCCATTTTCAGTCACACAGCCAAGATTGAAATTTTTTAAATGGAGAAAAATGACAAGAAAGTAATAAAGTCAATATTTTATACAGATATAGCGACCACCATCATTCAATGCAGTCCCTTAATGAATGCTGTCCCATCATCTCACATATCCCAAATAACACTTACCAATTTCCAAAACTCAAGCCTACTCCATAAAAGAGGGATGTGACCTTTGGCAGTAGCCCAAGCCCATTTCTGGCTCATACCATGTAGCCAGCACTGAAAAAGAGTTTTTTCATGGCCAGTCTCCCTAGTCATGTTGCTCTACTGCCTTTCTTTTATGCTCCTGATCAACCCCTTCCTGATCTCTAGCCTCCACACTCATCTATGGCCTTGCCCAGCACCCTGGCCTTGACTCTCAGTGCTGCTCCCCTGACTCTGGACCCTGACTTTCTTAATTAGTGACTTACTCCATCCTTTGAATTATGCTTCCTGGTGATACTCTGTAAGCACCCAACACGGTCCAACCTGACCTCTGGACTTATACACCAGTTCCAGTCCACATCGCCAACATGTTCTTTGATTTACCCCAGCCCTGCAGATGGCACTGAGGAAATCTGATATTAAAAGAAAGGCAAGTCTCAAATAAGTATCTATGATATATTGAGCACTGGTAGTGGCTCTGGTGGTATCTATAGTCTAAACCTCCTACCACGCTAACTACTTTGGTGGGGATAGTGGCAATTGCGTGCAGATACACACACACATGCATGATGTTTAATATTAATAAAAGCAACAATACATTTCATTTTTATAGTAGCTTATAGATTACAAAGCACTGTCGTGCTCATTCATTTATTTTATCATCACAAACAAGGTAGGATAGGGATGGGAGTGGGGATGGTAGTTGGATAGGGATTCTTTATTCTCATTTCACAGATGAGATGACTGAGCTCAGGGACAAGTCACTCTTCTTTTTTTTTTTTTTTTTTTTTTTTTATCCAGTCCCCGTGGGGACCGTCAAAAATTGCCAATGCCGACTATATTGCAAGTCGTCATGGCGGGGTATTGGGAAAAGTTTTCAATTAGCAATAATCGCGCCTTGGATAAACCTCATTGGCTACGATACTGCCACTGCGCAAAGCTAGACAAGTCACTCTTCTAAGCAAGGCTTGGGGCACAAAATTTAAGGAGGTCCCCACTCCAGGGTGGTGCAGATGCAGGAGCAGCACCTACGAGTGAGCACTGCTCTACATTTTACACTCTGTCTGCCTTGCTGAACTCACTCTAGTCCCAACCCTGCTTCATGGCTAATAAGTAGAAAACTGGGGGCTAGAACTCAGTGTTATTGTCACATTCATTTCCTTGACAAAATGCCCAACACCCATTGCATCTTCTAACTCTGTCTCTCTGTGTGTCTCAAGCTATAAAAAGTCACTCCCATGAACTGTGTGTTGCAGGTCTGAACTGTACCATTGGCCAGGAACTCTAGAACACAGGTACCTTGAAACGACGGTTTGAATGTGGATCCTTTTCTGTTTTCAGAGGTTCCAATTCACAGGGCTCTTTATCCTTCATTTTTTTATCTTTATCCTCATGTTTAGGGCTGAAATGTGAAGAGATACCAGGGGAAAAGTGAAGCTTAGAGTATTTAGATGATAGTGTATTGCTCAATCATAAATAAAATAAATGGGAAATATTAATTTAAACAGAGATGAATCATTTAAGGGGACCATGATCAGATCAATCATATAAATAGCTCCCAGAGTTTCTGCCTGTTCCAGTCAATTGATAAGAGTATCAATTCCTGCTTAAAATCTTCTCACACCCCATTGCCTAAAGGACAAAATCTAAGTCGCATTGTGATGTAGCTCCTACCTTTATTTTGAAGCCCATTTTCATCTGTTCCTTCCCTCCACTTTTGCTTGAGTCTAGACTCTCATAATTCCCCAAACCCACCACCCTATTTGAGCAACTCTCCCTTTTTATTATTGATAGCTATTTCTTTTGTCAGGCATATCTTCCATATCTTATATTGCTAGCAAGCACAACACCCTTTTCGGTTTGTCTCAATCATCTTACCTCTCAGAATCTTTCCCTGATTCTCCCAAGCAGTCACACCTTCTCTGCTCCCCTTAAGTTGTGGTATAATACATCTGTCTATGGACCCATCTCCAATTCCTCCACTTTGCCTTGTCAACTACCTAAAAATCGAGTTATAAAGAGGCAGAATTATCTTTTTCACGCATGTATCCCCAGCACTAATGTTGTGGGATTCATGGTAGGGATAGCTCCTTGCAGGGCATGGAATGGTATTCACCTAGTACGCCCTAATGCAATGAATGACTAGCATGCACCAGTATATGGATACCAGCTGCAGTAGAGGAGCGTGTGAGAGAGTCAAGGTAAATGATGTCATGAAAAAGAACAAGGACAGAATGCTGGAGAACACTGACATCATCCATGTGAGAACTTCTGTTTCTGGCATAATGAACTAGATCAATGGTCTCCAACCTTTTTGTCACCAGGAGCCAGTTATATAGAAGACAATTTTTGCACAGACTTGGCGGGGTTAGTGTCATGGGGGGTGTGTGTGTGGTACACAGCTCAGCTGGTGATGTGTGGCCTGTTTCGTAACAGGGCATGGACTGGTCACAGGCTGCGGCCTGGGTGTTGGGGATCACAGAGCTAGATAATCCTACAGCCCTTCTGCTACCACATTTATATGAATGGCAGAAAAAGAAGAGTTTTCAAAGAAAATCAGAAGAAGTGGTTATGAAGGAAGGAGAAACAGCAAGAAAGAGTGCTGTTTTAAAAGACAAGGAGAAGGAGCTTTAAAGAGTTTCATTCATTTATCCATTACTGAGCACTCTTATACACCATTAAGGCCATAGACTAGTTGTTCTGTAATGAACAAGGGCAGAGAAGTGAGAGCTGTGTTCTCATCCCCACTCTACCTCTTCCCTAAAAGTATAAAATTAACCTTTCTAAAAATCAAGTCTTCTCATCTACAAATCTTTCAGGTTACAGCTTTGTGCAGTGACAGTATCATAACCAATGAGGTTTATCCAAGGAGCCATAATTGCTAATTGAAAACTTTTCCCTAAATGAAAGGTTACAATGCCAGTCTCCACAGTAGCCATGAGAATAAAAAAAAAAAAAATGCTGAAAGCCTAGCACTGTTTGTAGCATGTAATGAACCCTCAATAATCGTTGGTGTCCTTTTTTTCACTTGCTGAGTTAGATTCCCCAATTCTTATGTTCCCATAGCACAGGGATGATATTTCTCCTAAGGCATTTACCTGTCCTGTCGATGTACTTGTCCTTTGTAATCCTCCTTCCTTTCCCTGAATCCCGTACAATAGTTTCTACACAGCTGAATCTCCATCAACAACTTGAATCAAATTTAATGTTGTGACTTCTAGGAATACCATGAGGGAAAGGGTACATTGTCTTTGTATTAAAACTCTTTTGTGGCTCTCCCTGACCTATAGGGTAAAGTCTAAATTCGCGCTGTCCAATACAGTGGCCACATATGGCTACTAAACACTCGAAATGTGTCTGGTTCCAGTTGAGCTGTAAGTGTAAAATACATCTGGATTTTGATGAGTTGGTGTGAAAAGAGGAATATAAAATACCTGATTAATAATTTGTATATTAATTATGTATGAAGAGAATATTTCAGATATATTAAGTAAAATACATTAAAATTAATTTTGCCTGTCTCTTTTTACAGGTGAAATTAAATGGCTACTAGAAAATGGCTACTAGAAAAATGCTAAATTACATCTGTGGTTTGCATTATATTTCTACTGGACAAGGCTGGTTTAAACAGTTGATAAGGGGGCTCAGGCCCTTCTGGATGCAGCCTGGCATGCTTCCCCAACTTCCTGGCTGCTGTTCCCGCATTGCACTTTGTGTCCAAGCAATATCAAACTGTGTGTAGATTCCTGGACCTGCCTTACTCCTTCACATTCTGTCTTTGCTCACACTTTTCCCTGTGCCTGGAATGTACATTCCATCATTTTCACCTGGCCAGTTCCTATACTTTGTCCAACATGCAGCTCAGGTGTCACTCTTCAAGGAAGCATTCTTGGCACCTCGAGGCTGGTTTTCATGCCTCACCTCTGTGTTTTATCAACTTTCATAGCAGTGATTGTATTACTTTATAATTTCCTATTTATGTGATTATTTTACCCTCCAAGTAACCCCCACTGCCAACCATCCCAGCTTCCCCTCCCATCCTGAACCAAGAGTAGGGAATACATTCTATTCATTTTATACCTCAGAATCTAGCAGTGTCTGAACAGAGTAAAAGCTCAATAAATGTTGAACTAAACAACCATCTGACATGTGCTTCCCACACACCCGGCACTGTGCTAGGTGCTAAAGGGTAATTATGGGGGTCATGATTTAGAGTCGGGCGGGAACTCAGGGAGAGAGATGAAGCTGGCCCATTCAGGTAACGCCAGCTCCCCCATGATTCAACACTTGCATTTTTAGACTCAACCATGACATTTCCATACTTGCTTCTCCAGAGCTCACCAACCATGCTTCTTCTAATGCATTAAAATAACTCCGGGGGGAAGAGTGATTAAAGCAGACAATGAAGAGGCAGGTAAGAGCACTGCTATGTGCCAGGGCACTGCCCCGGGCCTGGGAAGTATAAGAGGTACCAGGAACACCAAGAACAATAAAACATGAGCCCTGCCCACAAGGACCTCCCAGACAAGAAGGGGGTGGGGAGGGAGAGAAATAACCAGCATGTTAGTAAATAAACTGCATGCAGTGACATTAGTGCAAACATACGTGTACCTCATGGCAGTACCATGGGCCAGGGGCTGGATACTTCTCTCTGACAGATTGGAATCAAGGCAGTCTTCTCATAAAAGGGGTGCTTGATGGATCAGAAGTTTGCCAGATTATTAAATTGAGGTGAATGAATGAATGAAATGAGCAAAGGCAAAGAGACTTGAAACCACATGGTTCATTTTAGGAATGATTATATGACTGCCCCATTAATCCAGGAGCTGCTGAGGGCAGTAACTAGGTTTCTATCACTGCCACAGGCCCAGTAAGTGGTACGCAAATGTCTGGCACGTGCTGGGTACTCCATAATTGTTTGCTGAGTGAGTACATTGTGGGCTAGAAAGAACTGAGAGAGGAAGACAGGGCAGGACCATAGTTCACTTTCCCTGTTCAGGCACCTTGCAAGGTGCTGGGGAAACTGAACCAGGTCAGGCACTGGGAACATAGCCGGCCCAGAGAGGAAAATGAGTTCAGTTATCATAGAGTCAGTGGTTGGACTAATGCTTTTCCTTTAGAAGATAAAACTTACCTAAGTTCTTGATGGAAAAAACTCCTCCAAGGCTGAAAGTAAAGGGGAAAAAATTATTTTCATAAAAATGAACCCAAATCAGGCTCTGTTGTTTGGTTACAGATCAGTAGAGACAAGACCGAAAGGTGAGGGGATTGAAGTCTCAGTACAGAGCAAAGACAGACATTGATAACAGAAATTTCCAGGAATTGTTGCAGTGAGGCTGAAGATCAATCACAAAAGAAAATAAGCATTTCTGAAGTTAGGTGCGTGCCCCGGGGAATGCATGATTTAACTCAGAAAAATAAATTGCTCTTTGCACACCTTTCCAGGAAGGTATCTGTAGAATAAAGAACTAAATCATTTGAGGACATATGAATTTGTGGTATTGGAGCAATGTTTCTGTGGGAAAAACTGGAATTCACAGGTGTGCAGGTAATGCTGGCATTTCTCCCCTGCTCACTGCTTCTGTGTCCTCTGATCTCAACTCAGCTCTTGCATGATCTAGATATGGCTCCATTAAAATTATGTACAAATGATCACAATATACCCCCTTATTGATTCAGTGTTCACATATCTGATGCCATTCATTATTTGGAATCTCACCAAGAACACTGAAGAACAGAAAATATCTAGGCATCTAAAATGCTGCCATGAAATCTAGGCATAATAGCTCAGTACACTGTCCTCTGAGGACAGCCCTGCAGGCCTTCATTCAGGGACTGTTGGTTCTTATTTTACATCTGATTCTAGCAAATTAGATGCAATATTGGTAGAATGACAAGTCTGACTGACCTTGTTTTACGCCTTTGCTACATTATTTATATAGGTTGCTTAACCTCTCTGAGCCTTGATGTTCTCATCTGCAACATGGAGGCAGTGATAGCAGCTCCCAGGATAACTGTAGGGATTAATTGATACCATGTATGCACAAGTGCCTGGCGCCAGTGGGACTTGGTATGTGTTTTACCACATGAAAGACTCACTATGAGACCCAAAGATATTGACAATAAAAAGAAATGATAATTGTCAGAAAAGAGAAAATAATATGGCCAGGTGTGGTGGTTCACACGTATAATCTCAGGACTTTCGGAGGCTGAGGATTGCTTGAGGCCAGGAGTTCAAGATCAGCTTGTACAACATAGCAAGACCTCATCTCTACAAAAAATAAAAAACTTAGCCAGTCATGGTGATGTGCACTTGTAGTCCCAGCTACTTGGGAGGCTGAGGCAGGAGGACTGCTTGAGCCCAGGAGTTTGAGGTTGCAGTGAGTTATGATGGCACCACTGACTCCACCAGCTTGGGCAACAGAGTGAGACAAGAAAGAGAGAGAAAGAAAGAAAGAAAGAAAGAGAGAGAGAGAGAGAGAGAGAGAGAGAGAGAGAGAGAGAAAGGAAGAAAAAAGAAGAAAGAAAGAAAGAAAGAAAGAGAGAAGAGAAGAAAGAGAGAAGAGAAGAAAGAGAGAAGAAAAGAAAGAGAGAAGAAAAGAAAGAGAGAAGAAAAAGAGAGAAAGAGAGAAAGAGAGAAGAGAGAAGAAAAGAAAGAGAGAAAGAAGAAAAGAGAGAAAGAGAAAGAGAGAAAGAGAGAAGAGAGAAGAAGAAAGAAAGAAAGAAAGAAAGAAAGAAGAAAGAAAAAGAAGAAAGAAAGAAAGAGAGAGAAAGAAAGGGAAAGGAAGAGAGGAAGGAGGAAGGAAGAGAAGAGGAAGAGGAAGAGGAAGGAGAGGAAAGGAGAGAAGGAAGGAAGGAAGGAAGGAAGGAAGGAAGGAAGGAAGGAAGGAAGGAAAAGATAAGAAGAAAGAAAGAAAGAAAGAAAGAAAGAAAGAAAGAAAGAAAGAAAGAAAGAAAGAAAGAAAGAAAGAAAGAATTACAGAAAATAGACTTGTGGTTCGGTGTGAAGGCAACTACTCTTCTTTAGGGGCCCAACAGCATCTCATAGAAAGAGCATGACTTATGTCCACTTACTCCCTTATATTCAAGAATATTCCAAGTCATCAAGAAAGGATGAAATCAGATTTTACTCACTGAGCTTAAAAATATGGAGATTAACACAAAACATGTCAGAGTTAAAAGATTTAAAAAATTAAAAATACTTTCATGCTTTTTTATTTGAATGGGATAAAGTTCAGCTATTTGGAGAGTTCGCTTGTGCAAAACAGTTTATTATTTGTTGATGTTTCCAGGTAAGTGAAGTGTTTTACTCCCATTAATAGAAATAATCATTTGTATTTTTTTAGCTACAAAGTATATCCACAAATGAATAATTCTTATCAGCAAACATCAGAAAACTGAAACAGAGAGATTAAGGGTCTAGACTAAATGGACCCACTGGGAAAAGTCTGACCCCATTAAAGCACTAGGTAAGGGCCTCCTGTGAGCCAGGCATGGTACTAGGTGATTACATACTTTGTCTGACTTAGTTCTCTCAGAAACCAGTGAAACACATACTGGGCCTCTTGTTTATTGAGCATCTACTATCTACTACTGCAGATACACTCACCACAAGACATTTTTGTCCTCATGGAGAATACACCATTTTATAGAGGGTACAACAGAGTCTCAGAGAGGTGAAATACTCTGTTCCAGGCACTTACTAATATACTGTTTGCCCTCATTTATCTTTCTTTCATTCTCACAAGGGCCCCAGAAGTGGGTGCTTTATGGTGCCTCTGTTGCAGATGAGGAAATGGAGATTCAGGATTACACAGCCAGGAGCTGCCATTGAGGTCAGCAATGACTCTGCTTGGGCCCTAATCAGGTTGCTGTTCTGCCTTGAGGTGGTACCTATTGCCACACCCAGCAGGCATCCAGAAGGTGTGCCCTGAAGGTCTGGTCATTTTCTTGGAAGCACAGGAATATACAAATCTGAATTGTTCCAAAGAGCTCTTCTCTATGAAAGGCACAGTTATTAAAGCCCAGTTGGTGCTGGCCACCCGAGATAAGGGGCCAGGGATAGATTAGAACTATCTCCTTTCATGCCATTACACATTTTCTGCCACTGACATTACAGGGCTCAGGGTTCAGATTCTTAACAGCTGAAGTCTAGAAAAGCATTAGCAATAGGAGGGAAACTAAAAATAGAGATCTTTTCTCCTTAATCAAAGAAACTACTTTAGAATCACCCTGTATACTTGTTTACTTTCATTACAATGTTGGTAAGGAGAGAATAAACAATACCTTTTGAAGTTCTTCAATTCCAACTTCATAAGTTGCTAAAATAAACATAAAAAATTATTTCAAGACAGTGTATCCATCCATTTCTTATAATTCTCAAGATTAAAGCAATTATGAAAGATTATAGAGTTCAGTTTTCTGAACCTTTAGAACACTGGTCTGTGCAAGGCTCTATCAAAATGGTTTGGGAAATTATGGGGTCACTAATCATGGTTTTAATTTCTGTGGGGGGTTCCAGGATGGAATTTACAGTTAGTGAAAACATATGAAACCAGTTTTCTGTTTTGATAAATAAATATATACTCCATGCTTAAAAGAAAGCACTGAAATTTAGTGGTAGCAATCAGAAGGCCAACTTGAAAGGAAAAAGGGCTAAGACAAGCCTAAATCCCACTTCAACAAAATGAACTCTATATCCTGCCCAAAAGTATTTTGCTCCATGAAAATTTTGTTTCCTTAGACACAGCTTGAAAAAGAGGAGCCCACCAACTAAGGTTCAAATACCTTTGGTTTTTCCGATAGTTCTGTGGATTTTATTTAATGACATACCAATCTTAATTACGGTCATGCATTGCTTAACAATGGGGCTATGCTCTAAGAAATGCATCCTTAGGTGGTGGTGCTGTGCAAACATCATTGTGCTTACACAAACCTAGATGGTATAGCCAACTACACACCTAGGCTGCATGGTGTGGCCTATTGCTACTAGACTACAAACCTGTATAGCATGTTACTGCACTGAATACTGCAGGCAACTGTAATACAACGATATTTGTGTCTTTAAACATAGAAAAGGTACAGGAAGAACAGTATCAAATGGGACCGTATGTGGTCTGTCATTGACCGAAACATCATCATGCAGTACATGACTGTATTAACGAACAGAAGTAGTGATAAGAATTTGAATTTCAAACTCCATGCTGCCACTTCCTACATAGGAGATTTCAGACAAATTACTTCATTTCTTTGAGCCTTAACTTGTTCATCTGTGAAAATGGGCTGATGGGACCTGACCTACAGAGTTAATGGGGAGGTAAAGAGAATGAAGTGAAAAATGTAATATCTAGCAGATCACCAGACATTGTATAGAAAGTGGCATTTTTTTTGATAAAATTGATTATCTGGCTTTTCTTTGCTTACAAGTTATTTAAAAAAATTTTTTCCCTACTATTAATATGTGTGCATAATAAGTAGGACTCCTCCCTCTGGTTTTTCTCTCTCTCTTGCTGCTAGATTCCTGAAGCTTTAGTTTAGAAAACTGACCAAATACACTGTGTTTCTAAGCCTTTATTATTCTAAACATACATCAATAAAATAAATGAAATCCTAGGTTTTTTTGCTAGGGACTGTCTGCATGTGATTGTTGCCAGAGACCTAAAAATCTGTATGGATTATTGATAATACATACTTGAACTTGGGTAATTGTACACATTTATTTTTACTGATTTTTGAGTGAAAATATTTTATTCTGCTCTTCCTTACTTTAAAAACTTTATTTAGCTTATAAAACTTTTTAAAAATGTCTGTTTATGATACAGTTTACCCATATCTTTTCCTAGGATAGATTTGTTTTCCAATTTTAAAAATAATAATCTCCTCCTCCCTCCCTCCCTCCATTTATTTACCTATGTATTTTTCAAAGAACTAACAAATCATGGTCTCATTTGCTTCTAACCACCTGTGCAGTAGATGCATTTATTCTGCCTTAGAAAGATGAAACCAAGACCCAGAGAGATCTTACTTGATTTGGCTAATAAACAAAGATAATACACATTCGATCAATAATGTACTCATAATGTTGGCATTGCTTTTTCAAAAAATGGAGGTTTTTTAATGGTAAGCTTTGCTATCAAAACTCACTCCTAGGTAGGAATATAAAGCACAAAGGGTTGCATTCCAAGGGGTCAAGAAGGGATTAGGATTTATAACAGGAGGATGTGAACCACAGCACTGGAGTCCTTGCTCACTGTGTACAAAAAGCTATATAACTCTCTCTCCACTGAATAGCTTCATCATGCTGGCAGGGAAAGGACAAATGTCAGAAGATGGTCCTCAGCACCCCCTCCCATCTGCAAGTGTCCTAACACGGTCATGTCTTAGAGGCCCTCTGCTCTTTCTCCACGTACTAACAAGGCTACAGGGGTGTGACCTTGAAAAAGCTCCTTCACCTTTTTTATAGTGGGAAGTGAGATGACAATTACTAATATCATAAAAGCAATGAAAAGCAGCTGACATTTTTTCCAAACTTATAGACAGCAGGCATTATGCTAAGCATTTAAATGCATTATTTCACTTAATTCTCATGATGATCACTCTACTACTGTTACAATTTTACTAATGAGGAGACACCCAGAGAAGTGAAGTAACCTGCCCAAAGTCACTCAGTTAAGAAATGGCTTTTGAATTTTCTTCCAACCATAGATTCATTCATTTACATGAAATATTAACCAGGAGCATAAATAGAATTTCTCTGTTTTGAGGTATCTTCCAGGGTCTCCAAGACTCTTCAAAACACCCCTGTGGCATAGAAGTACAGTCGTCTGAAAAACACTAGTCTATTCGGATCTCGGAGGACAATTCTGCAGAGCTTTCAGAATAGCCTGAATCCTGCATACCCAAGGCCAAGTTCTGTATAAAAGGGTGAAACCTCACAAAGGGACTGCTGAGTTCTGCATCCTGAGGGGATGGTTTTCAGCATTGTTGAAAGGACAGAATCACTCAATGGCTATAGTGAAAGCCAACCACTTCTTCCTATTCCTCCTTCCTTCCCTCCCTCTGTCCCTCTTGGAATGGTATTATTTAGATTTCTCTTCCTTGGTGGACAAAGGAAAAAAGAAAGATCCATTTTAAGTTAACTTCTGAATAAGGTATGAAACTTAGCTCCAGGTTTATGTATTTTATTTTACCTATGGACATCCAACCGTTCCCACAACATTTGTCAAAAGGCTCTCTGTCCTCTACTGAATTGCTTTTGCATCTTTATTTAAAAATCAGCTGGGCGTATTTGTGTAGGTCTATCTCTGGGTTCTCAGTTCTGTTCCATCATCCCATATGTCTCTCTTTGCCTCTGCCGTGCAGTCTTGATTACTGTAGCTATAAGTCTTAAAACTGGCTAGACTTATGGCTCCTATTTTTCCTTTTTCAAAATTGTTTTTGGCTCTTCTAATTCCTTTGCCTTTTCATATTATCTACAAAAGATCTTGTGTGAATTTTTATAGGAATTGTATTAGACTTGTATATCACTTGGGGAAAATGGACATTTTTATTGTCCATTTTACTGTATTGAGTCTTCCGATCCACAAATATGATATGTCTCTCCACTTATTTAGATTTTCTTTGAATTAATTTAATCAGTATTTTATAGTCTTCAGCAATACATGCTTTGGTAGATTTAAGTTTAAATATTTTTCTGTTTTTGAGCAATTTTAAATGGTATCACATTTTTCAACTTCAGTGTTTGTGTGCTCATATATAGAAATATAGCGATTTTTTTGGTATGTTTATTTTGTGTCCTGCAACCTTGATGAACTCATTTATTAGTTTTGGATGAGGTTTTTTGTTTTTGTTTTTTTGGGTTTTTTTTGTAAATTCCTTGGGAATTTCTACCTATACAATCATATCACTCCAAATAAAGATGGTTTTATTTCTTCCTTTTTGATCCATATGCCTTTTATTTTCTTTGTTGCCTTATTGCACTAGAACTTCCAGCACTATGTTGAATAGGAGTGGTGAGAGAAAACATTCTTGCCTTGTTTCCAATTTTAGGGAGAAAGCATTCAGTGTTTCACCACTAAGTATCATGTTTAGCTGTAGGCTTTTTGTAAATGTTCTTTGTAAAATTAAGTTCCCCTCTAAGTTTTTATTATGAACATGGGTTGAATTTTGTCAAATGCTTTTTCTGCATAGATCAATTGTGTGATTTTTCTCTTTTAGCCTGCCAATACAGTGGATTTCATTAACTAATTTTTAAATATTGAACCAGCTTTGCATCTCTGTACTATCATACACCACACTTCGTTATGGTGTATAATTCCTTTTTTATCTTGCTGAATTCTATTTGCTAATATTTTCTTAAGGATTTTTGTGACTATACTTATGAAGGATATCAATCTAAAGTTTTCCTCTTTTGTACTGTCTTTGGTTTTAGTTATCAGGATAAAGCTAGCTTTACAAAATGAATTAAGAATTGTTTTCTCCTTTTCCATTTTTCTGAAAGATTGTATAAAATTGGTATTAATTCTTTAAATGTTTGGTAGAATTTCCCAGTGAAGTCACCTGGACCTAGAAATTATTTTGGGGGAGTTTTAAAATTATGTATTCCATTTTCTTAAGAGTTACAGGGATATTTGAATTATTTATTTTAGGTAAGTTGTGGTAGTTTGTGCTTCTTAAAGAATTGTCCCATTTTTATATAAATTGTCACATTTATGTATAGAGTTGTTCATAATATTCCTTTGTCCTTTTGATGCTTGTAGGGTCTATAGTGACATCCCTGTTTCGTTCTTGATATTGTGTCTTCTGTTTGCCAGTTTTGTTAGAAGTTTGTCAATTTTATTGATTTTTTTCCAAAGAACAAAGCTTTTGGTTTCATTGATTTTTCTCCATTATTTTTCTATTTTCAATTTTATTTATTTCTGATCTTATCTTTATTGTTTCTTTCCTGCGACTTGCTTTTAAGATTTTTTTGTCTTTTTCAGAAATTTGATTATGTTGCTTTATGTGGGTTGGGTTTATCCTGTTCTAGGTTTCCTTGGCTTCTTGAATCTGTCATTGTATATTTGTTGCCAAATTTGGGAAGTTTTTACTCACTATTACTGTGAGTATTTCTTTAGTCATGCCCTCTTTTCTCTTCTCCTTCCAGAATGCCAATGACATGTTAAATCTTTTGTTATAGTCTCGCAGTTTTTTGAAGCTCTGTTCATTCTTTTTCAGTCTCTTTTCTCCTTGTTCAGATTGGGTAATTTCTATTGTTTATTTTCAGGCTCACTGACTCTTGTTCCCTCCATTCTGCTGTTGAGCACATCCACTGAACTTTTTATTTATTTATTATTTTTTTTTAGAGACAGTGTCTTGCTCTGTGACCCAGGTTGAGGTGCAGTGGTGCGATCATTGCTCACTGCAGCCTTGAATTCCTGGCTTCAAGCAATCCTCCTGCCTCAGCTTCCTGAGTCATTGAGATAACAGGCGTGAGCCACCTTGCCTGGCTTTTATTTTTCAGGTCTGAAATGTTCATTTGGTTTTTCTTTACATCTTCTATTTCTTTGGTAAGACTTTTTTTTTCCCATTTGTTTGAAGATGGAAACTTGCTCATAATTGCTCACTGGAGTATTTTAATAAAAGCTACTTTAAAGTCTTGGTCAGAAAATTCTAATACTTCAGTCATCTCAAATTTTGCATTTATTTTTTTTTCAGCTTCAGCTGCTATAATAAAATACCATAAACTGGGTGGCTTGTAACAACAGAAATTTATTTCTCACAGTCCTAGAGCGGGAACTATCATAAGATCAAGGTGCCAGCAGATTCAGCATCTGGTGAGGGCCTACTTTCTTGTTCATAAACATCTGTCTTCTCACTGTGTCCTCCTACAGTGAATAGCAAAAGCAACCTTTTTCGGGACTCTTATAAAGACACTAATTTTATTTGTGAGGGCTCCACCCCATGACCTCATGTAATACTAATTACCTCCCAGTGACCCCCACCTCCTAACACCATCACATTAGAGAGTAAGGGTTCAACATACACATTTTGGGGAGTAACAAGGAATCAATCTGTAATACCCAAGTGAGGTAAGAACCCCTAGACATGCTGGGCAGGGGCAGGACTTCTGGCTCTCCGTTAGGCTTCTGCTGGTAACACCCTTGCTGGGAAGGGTGGGAGTGCCTTGTCATTGCTCCCCATGTAGCTTCTGCTGGTAACACCCTTGCTGGGAAGGGTAGGAGTGCCTTGTCATTGCTCCCCATGTAGCTTTTGCTGACACCACAGGGAGCAGGTGGCCTTCTTACTGCTGGGTGCTGTGAAAGTCCTCCCCACTAGGTCTCCTTGGACACTATCCCAACAAGGAGGTGGAATGGTGTCTTGTTACTGCAGGGAGGCAGGAGGAAGTCCAACTTCCCCATATGGTCTTCACAGACACTGTAGGTGGAGTTTAATTACCATCTGGTAGGGACAAAAATCCCAGCTGATGAGCTTTGGCCTTCTCTGACACCACCCTAGTGGCGGAGTTGGGGTGCATCATTGCAGCTTGACGAGGGTGGGTGTCTACGCTCCCCACTCAGCACTGCTGTTGGTGGTGGGGCCGCAGTTTTTTTCTATGATGTTTGCCTGGAATAGATCAGTTATTGTATAGAGGTTTTCTGTCTGTCTAGGCTGACCTTGTCCTGGTCCTTTGAATAGAAAGAACAGACATTTGTTGAAGCTGTTTTTATCTGTGCCCATTGGTGTTTTGGGGTTGCCAGCTTTTTCTCCTCCAAGTTTGGGAGATATGAGTCAAGAAAGAAAACCAGGGAAGTCATCACCTTATCCTTACTTGGGTCCTAATGTCCCTAGCTGATCTCTTCTCTCTACCTTGCAGAATCTTCCAGTCTTCTTACATTTGTTTTCCATATATCACGTCCAGGGGTTTTAGCTGTACTTAGCCAGAGGAATAGGAAAAAACACTTGTGCTTCATCTTCCCCGAAGCAGAGGTCCGCCTGACTTAAAACGTATGATTTTATGCAACACTCAGAACAACTCCATAGTAGAGATATTACACCCGCTTTGTAGATGAAGAAACAGACTCCGATGTTATTCACCCAGTAAGCGGTGTAACAAGGAGGCAGGACACCGGGAGAAGAGTCAGGTGAACAGGTCCAAGTGAAGGTAAAACCACCACTTCCTTTCTTTTTCCTGCAGGGCAGCTGCATGTCGGCTCTTCTTTAGAGGGGCAGGGGGTGGGGGAGAGGTGGATCAGAGTCCTGCGATCTCAGCTCTTATTCCCCAGCTGCTTCCGCCTTCTCTGCAGCCCCAGCAGGTCTGCCGGTCTCCCATAGGACTCCCTCTCCGGCAGGGGAAGCTCTCACTGCCCTCACCCTGCTCCCCCGTTCCCACCCCGCTCCCTGTCTGCTGGCCTGTGCTCTGTCATCTCTCAACTGCATCGGTGGCTTATTTTCTGAGCCTTTTCTCTTTCTAGTCATAAGCATTTGTCTCCTTGGCAGCACTGTCCATGAAGCACACAAAGGATCCTTCAGTCAGAGACCGAAGAGAGACCTGGGTGAGTGGTTCCTTCTTCGGGTACCATAAACGATGCTTCCTGGCAGGCTCCCCTTTAACATTTGTGTCCTGGAGAGAACAAATGCAGGCCTCGGTCCAGCTTCCATCCTTAATCCTCAGCTCCACACTCTACCACGAGGGACCAAACCCCATCCACGCCAGCCCCTACAAACAGCTCTCTTGCTGCAGCCTGGTCTGTTCTGAGGAAGGAGAGCTCAGAGAGGGGACCCAAGCAGGATCTTGGGGAGCCATTTGCATGGGACTGGATTCCGGGGGGTCTCACTTGGTCCCGAGAAGAAGGCTCAGACTCTGACAGGAGCCTCCCCTTGGCCTTGCTGTTAGCCTTCTAGAAAGGAATGCAGTTGGAATTTGGCCCAAATGGGGCCTGCAGACTCTCTCTTCAAAGTGTGGTCTATAGACCAGCAGCATTGGCATCGCCAGGGAACTTCTTATAAATACAGGATCGCAGACCACACCCCAGAGCTACTGGACCAGAATCTACCTTTCACAAGATCCCCAGGTGACCTGTGTGAACATTAGAACTTGAGAAGCCTGCTCTAAAGCGGGGCCTCAATACTCTGAGTGCAGGGCAGCCTTGCCTTCTTGGAGACGGGGGAGGGGGGGGCAGGAATTGCTATCAGTATTTTACAAGCCAAATGGGAGAATGTAGACTTTGCCTAGTCTAGGAGACAGGGAGTTTTTTCAATAGTTCTCTAACCTCTTATTTCTTGGGGAGAGAGGAGAAGGAAATTTTAGTAAGTCCTGATTCGTACCTCATGAACTACCTAAGTATGTATTCCCAGGAAAATGACTTTCTTTCTCAGAACTTTGGCCTTCTTGTCTGTGTAATAGTGGTGGGACCAGATGATCTCTTTTTAACCATCCTTCCAGGGAAGCCAATCTTCCTTGAATGAGAAGCAGCATAAAATTGTGGAAAGAGCATGGAATTTAGAGGCAGGCTGAGCCTGTTTCACATTATAGCTCTTCTGCATATTACTTGCATGACCTTGTGCATCACTGATTTTGAGTTTCCTGTCTCAAACAGTGGGGTGGTAAACCCAGTCTATCAGCAGGGATGTGCCTAGACAACCTAACACAGAACTGCAGCCCATAGTACAGGCTCAATAAATACTAGTGTTTACTCTAGCACGAACATTTATGCCTTTTGTAGAAAACTGGCTGATTCTATAGGCAGAACAAAGACATCGAAATGTGTAATGCGTCCTGGCTTCTTCACTTTTTTACCTGAGAGGCTCTCTTTTTGCACAAAAAGGTCTGAGCGTTGTCGGCAATACCAGAGGCAGGAAGACTTAGCTCTGAGCCAGTGGTCAGATCCATTAAATAAATCCCCTGCTCCTATTCAGACTGAACACAGGGCCTAAATCTCATGGTCTGTTATCTCCCTCGCCACAGACAGAGTAACCAGGGGACTTCAAGAAAGAAACCACGAGAGGAGAGATGAAGTTTCTAAAGGAGGAGAAGGAAGAAAAATTAATCGCCATATCTTGATTTTCCTTCCCACGTATCTACAAAAGGCAAAGCAGCTAAGTCGATTGGTGAAGGAAAGAAAAGAAGAGGTTGAGAAGGCAGCAGTGGGAGTCATGAGACAGCACTGAAGCCCAGCTGGATTTATTTATATTTTTAGGAGACCAGACATAGAAAAAAAATCTGAGATGGTAGAGCAGAATGGCTGTGAATTTTTAAACTTATAGTTAGCTAGAGGGAAAATACCATTTTTGACACATTTTCATTCCACACAGGGCTACGATATTAATTGGCTTAGCACACTTACAATCAGCAATTTCTTCTGCAGTGCACAGGTTAATGGAGTTGCCAGAGTGTCTCAGATATGAAATTGTTGCTTCGTAATTATGTGGTTCTTCAAATTCAGCACTGAGAAGCATGGAAGGAAAAAAGGTTACTTAAAATATAACATTTCTTTAAACACATTTTAAAGCTTTTGGTAATTTTTCCTCATTAGAGAAGTAAAATAGTCTGGCCAATATGGTGACGTAAGCAGTACGGAAGGCACACCACCCCTGCTCTAAACATGTGGGATTTCTGGGTGAAATGTAACAGTGCAAAGAATTGTGCAAAGATTACATAGCTCACAAAGAAAACAACAGAGGAAAATCCCCAGGTGCCAGACATGGAGAGGAAACTCACAATTAAAGTTGCAAGTGAGAATTGCAGTCAAGGGACTCAAAGGGAAATTGAGACCAGATATAGAGACATCTTACTGACGAGGCATCTGGAGATTTAATGTCTGAGTCAGAAGGTAAGTCTGAGCCATAAGCCTCATCTAATTGGGAAGCTGAAACTAAGCCATCAGCAAAAAGTCCAGAGTCACAATATGCTGTCCCATCTGTAAAACCAGTTCTAAAAAAATATCTGTCTGCTCTGCCAGGGAATGAGCAGGGAAGCCTGCTATCTCACGATGGCCACAGTGGCTAAAAGAGTCACCTAAGAAAAATCAGAAACTTGACAACCCAGCACCAAGCACAGATGTGGGGTTGAAATTCATATGATCTTTCATATGACATTTCAGAGACACAAAGCCAAAACTGGTACCTGAAATCCAAATCCCCCTATAAAGGCAAATCTAAAATCATCTGTAAAGATGCTTCCAAACCCCATGGCATCTATGATTTCCAAAGAAAACAATGCCCACTCAAAACAACATGATAGTTAAAAACTGAAAACCACCAGGCATGGTGGCTCATGTCTGTAATCCCAGTATTTGGGGAGGCTGAAGGAGGAGGATTGCTTGAGGTCAGGAGTTCAAAACCATCCTGAGCAACATGGTGAGACCTTGTGTCTATAAAAAAATAGAAAACCTTAGCCAGCTGTGGAGTGTGCACTTGCAGTCCCAGCTACTCAGGAGGCTGAGGCAAGAGGTTCCCTTGGGCCCAGGAGTTTGAGGTTGCAGTGAGCTATGATCATGACACTGCACTCTAGACTGAGTTACAGAGTGAGACCCTGTCTCTAAAACAAACAAACAAACATAAAAAAGCTTAAAACCACATAAGGAGATAAACCATAATAAGACAATCAGAAGATATTACAAATGGGGGAATTAAATAATAGAACAACATGGAAGTGAGTTTAATAAAGTGTGTTTAAGTGTTCAAAGAAATAAAGTAAGAAATAAAAGCTACTAGGTAAAAGCAAGAGATTGAGGGAAAAAACCTGTAGACTTGGGGACAAGAGAAAGGAGGTATGGAAATCATAAATACAATTCTTTGAAACAAAAAAAATGTAATGTAGAGGTTGGAAAGTAGATTAGACAGCAGAAGGAAGAATTGGTGAATTATTTAGATCTAAGGAAATTATCTAGAATGGAGCACAGAAAGACTAACAGACAGAAAATATTTAAAAAGAAGTTGAGAGATATGGAAGACAGACTGAGAAGGTCCACATATACTCACTAGGGATTCTAAAAGGAAAGAAGAAAGAGAATCATGAAAGGAGTCAATATTCAAGTCATAATAGCTAAGACTTCTCTAAAATTGAAAAGGGACATGAATCCTTCACTTTAAGCAACTTTAATACAAGAAATAACAATAAATCCACACTTATACAGTTTGTGATAAATAAGCATAAGTCAAAGAAAAAAATACACAATCTATGTGAGAGAAAAGATATAATCCACTACAGAACAGAAATCAGACTGGCAATGGATTTTTATTAGCATAATAGATGGTGGAGATTGTGGATAATATCTTAAAACACTGAGGAAAGAAAGATGTCAATATAAAATTCTATTCCAGCTAAATTACCATTCAAGGGTGAGGGAAAGCAAGGACATTTTCAGGATGCAAGTATGTGTGTTTACTACTCACAGACCTTTGCTTAAATATATCAACATGGCATATTTCAGTCAAAAGAAATTAAACTAGTTAATGAAGTAAGATATAAGAAAATATGGTAAACAAAGATAATAAAGTTATTGGTAAATCTAAATGTTGACTGGAAAAACTTATTGGTAGAAGTTTAAGAATAAGATAAAATTAAAATATTAAATGATAATATAGAAGATAGTGAAAGAGGGCTATGGGGATTATTCTCAGGTCTTTGTATTACTTCGGAGGATAGAAATTTTGATTAACATTAGACTTTGCTAATTGTAGATGTAAAAATTTAATTGTAACCACTAAAAGGAACAGAAATAGAATATTTAACTTCTCAACTGGTAGAAAGGGAATATGCAATGGGAAACAATAAATATGAAAGAAAAAAAGAAAAGGAAGAAAAAAAGCAAATATAGAAATTATATAGTAAATTATAATGGAGAAAAAGTCCAAATATATCAAGAATTGCAATAAATGCACATAGATTAACGTACTCCAATAACATAGAAAATATCTGACTGGATATTTTTTAAGAAAGAGCTAATGCTACTAAAAAGAAGCAGACAAACCAAAAGTTCAGATGAATGGATAGAGAAAGAGATACAAACCAAATACCATCCAAAAGAAAACTGAGGTAGGTGTATTAATATTAAATCACACTTTAGCATGACTGATAAAGAACATGAGAAAAGGTACACATGTATGCATATACACATACACACAAATTAGAGATAAGAAATGAGAAAAAACTGGAAACAGTTTTGGATTTTCAGAAATCTAAGAAAATGTTATGATCAGCTCTCTGACAATAAATTTGAAAATTTAGAGAAAATTGGCAAATGTACTGAGAAATATCAAATTGCCACACTGACCAAAAAAGAAACAGAAAAACTAATAGGCCAATAAATTATTGAAGAACTTGAATCGATAATATGCCTCCCCATTCTTCCCTCTGCCCATCTCTACCCCCAATCCACTTCTCTTCTTGTTCTTCATCAACTAGTTTTATAGGCCAGTTTTTAAAAAAAATTAGTATATTATGGGGGTACAAATGTTTAGATTACATATATTGCCTTTGCCCTACCTGAGTCAGAGCTTCAAGCATGTTCATCCCCCAGACAGTGTGCACCACACCCATTATTTGTGAATATACCCTTCCCTTCCTCCCCCCTCCCACCTGCCCAACACCTGATGAATGTAACTACTACCTGTACACTCAAGTGTTGGTCAGCTAAATCAGTTAATACCAATTAGGCAAGTTTTATTTTATTTTTTTTTAGAGAGAAGATCTTGCTCTGTTGCCCAGGCTAGAGTGCAATGGTGTTGTCATAGCTCACTGCAGCCTTAAACTCCTGGCCTCAAGTGATCTTCCCACCATGGCCTCCCAAAGGGCTGGAACTACAGCATGAGCCACCATGCCCACCCTTATAAGTAGGTTTTAATGAATAGTTTCAGAGAACAGAAAAAAGAAAAGTTATTCTTCTCATTTTAAGAGGATAATATAATTGTAATATGAAAACTACAGCAATAAGAGGAAATATAGCCTGATCTCACTTAAGAGATTTTAGCCCAAATTGACTAAATAAAATCCTGAAAAAAATAAATTAATCAGTACTCATACTGATTAATAAATAACTCAAGAACTAAAATTTATTCCAAGACTTCAAGGGTGGCTCAATATTAGAAAATCTATCATTGCAATTAATCATATTGTTTTAATAAAAGAGGGGGAAAAGATTATTTTAACAGATGCAAAACAGCATTCCATGAAGATGAACTTTCCTAACTAGAATACCTCCCAACAAATATCATACTCAATGGTAAAGTGTAACAAATAAATTTAATATCTGAGCTCTATCAGGAACTTCAGCAATAAGAGAAGACAAATAAACCTACAGAATATTGGACAAAAGTGTATGACAGACATCACAAAAGAATAAAATTGAATGGTTTATAACAGTAAACAGGGAAATGGAAATCAAGATAATAAGAATTGAGGTTACACCCTTCAGATTAGCAAGAATCCCACTTTGAAAATAATACCTTGTTTGGCAAGAATATGGAGAAACAGGAAATCTTTATACTGCTTTGAGAGAGTGAGTTCTCACAACTATTATATTTTGGAGAATCATTTTTCAGTATCCGGTAACACTGAAGTTATTTATGTAGTACCATTTAGCAATTCTACGTCTAAGTAAATAGCTTTGAGTAACTTGGCTTACCTTCACCTAGATACATACAAGGATGATTACGGAAGCATTATTTAAAATGGTGAAAATCTAAAACAACTGACACATTCCTCAGTAAAGGAATGCATAAACAAATTGTGACATGTTCATATGATGAGATAAAATACAGCAATTATAATGTAGATAATATATATCAACATTGATAGTATAGGAAAACACATCTTTATTAAAAAACAAGTTGCAGAAGGATAAAGATGCTATCTATACAAAAATTCTAAATACTGTATCTTTAACAGAGGTATATGACTTTGTAGTTCAAGTATAAGAATATACTAAATGGATACACTCCTAAATTTGAGATCAGAGTTGCTTCTGGGAAGAGAGAAGGGAAATGGAACTATGGAGTGAAACAAAAGGGCTTTCAACTACATCCATAACAAATGGAAAAGAGCAACTACATCACACCAAATGTGGATAGCACACAGGAGAAAAAAGTTACCCCAATCCCAACACCTTAACACAAAGGAGGTCTCAGCATTAGGTCTTATTCCTGCTTTTTTCCATTTATGTGTGCATTTGCATATTTGTTATCACAGACAATAAAAAGTTGAAGTTCTCTCTTTCCCCCATTTATTATTATATCATAAGTACCTCCCACCCAATTGCTTCCCTCCTTTGACTATTCTGGATATTTTTTTTTTGAGTTTTCTTTGTGCATCTTCTCCACAATATTTATAAAAGATGTATGAATAGTCCATTTTGCTAAAAAAGAAAAATTATGAACTCCAATGCACCAGTAACTTCTCTCATAGTTTTATTTCCTTCACCCTGCATGAAGTGATTGAGAGAAACT